TACGCTTCCAGCCCCGCTAATTATACACACCTATTAGTATCCGTATAATACATCTGAGATTTCTCCGAGCATTTGCCCTTAAAACTTAAACGAATATCAAAGGGACGTGTCGCGTCTTGGTCGCACGTGCTATACGTTACGAACTTACACCGGTGCGCACAAAACTCTGTGGAGGCCTGCCGTTGATGCGTACTTTCTCACTGCCTCACTGCTCGAGCTAGCCAGCATAGTATGACTGACGTTGCCAGATGGTCGATAGTTTCAGTAAGGGTAAAGAAGAAGTTTCTAGAGCGCTGCGTTATCAAATGAGGGGACTATGAAGTAATTGTATGAGCTTGTTAGGCTTACCTGAGCCATTTAATTCTTTTTTGCCTTATATATCTTCGTAGTTAACTTTTTTATAGTAATAGTCCTTAATGAATTGATGACAGCGTTGCGTGAGAAGTGCAGGGTTAACCTACCTAACGCTATTTCTTAGTATTCTTAAACAAAGCAATCACCACCAGAACAGTACATCATCTTGAAATTTTTAACTACCACTTTCAGGCTAAAGCATGATTACTCATGCACCAAATTTCAGATTTGTAACTTGACTCATTCGAAAAATAAGTAGGGTGGGACCTTTTTGAAAAGTACTGTATATTTAGTAAGAGCCAGTGTGAGTACACCTATTGAAATCAAGCAGTCTTTCAGAACTTAACTTATCCGAACAATATTAAATGACATACATAATTTATACGATACTTATTTAATACTTATTGTTATATTCATATTTTTTAGGGATTGGCAATTTTATCTGGATATAGCATTTTCCATGTTGTGAATAAACAAAACAGACAGACAGTGAGACCGACAGATATACACGGCTTTTAGTGGTGTACATGTTGTGTAACAAAAACAATATCTCGATTTCAAAATTTTTTCTAATAAAAAAAAACGCTTCAAGAATATGTACAACTACAACTTATAGAATGTCAAAAGAATGTAATTTGCTTGAAGCATCCAGATTCATCAGACCTTACCTTTGTTACAAAATAAATGCAGTAAGGATGAATTAAAGATCTGTAATTAGTAAAAAAGGTAAACACATATGATAAAACTGTAAAATACAAACAAAATTTTGCAAACGCACTTTCAAGTACTTATCTGACAATTATATAAAGTGAGCTTAAGCGCGCAAGTAAAATTCAATTTGTGCAGATAAACGTAGATATTTCCAACTTCATATACAATAGACGTAATTACTAATAGTCCAGTAAATACGACGGGGAGCGGTAAGTTATTGCAATCTATAATTGTCTCGTGTTTTGTTATGGAAAAGTCATAGAATCTTGATAAATTGAAAAAATACCTGATTTCATGCCTTCTGTGGGTCCTTTATGTTCATTTGTATTATTTCATAGATATTTTATTTTATAAATAAGCATTATTATTATTTGTGCGTAATGATAATTCAAGGTGCGTGTCTAAGAATATTAGGTACGGTAACAGCGGGCTGGCATGTCGTAGTCATGCTTGCATTATTTTCATGTTTTTGAAATTGAAAAGGTGAATAAATTAACATGTAGTTTTAAGATTTATAATTCAATATGATTTAATTTGTGCATCGCAAAGTGAAAAATATAATTGTCAGGGGTTACGACGTTGCCAAGCACCTGCCAGGCGGAGAGCCGAGGTCTGCAATATAAGTGATGGTTCTTTGGATTATTGGCTATTAGGTATTTTGACCAATCTAAAAAATACCGTCTTGTTTCGGAGATACAGGTGAAAGCGTGGAACTGGAAATCGGTTTGTCTTAAATAACTCTTCAACATAACATGAAACATTAATGTGTAGATACGAGTTCTTGATTGTATCTACCGTTTGACTTGTTGTACAGAGTAAATCAAAATGATGCTTCATTACGTCAACTTTGAGTCAGTCTGACGTGAGACTCCAGTTGCCAATCAAATCGCAATGTTTTCCATTAACACATTTCCCTTATAATCTGGTTTTTCATTCACGTCGATAAGTACAGTGGTTAAAGCTTTAGAGGCAATTAAAGATTTTATCACAATTTTTGCTTCTATTTTTCATAACTTTTTCTACAGCGGCGAAGAAAATGACAACTTTTGACTTAATTTAAGAACATGCTGTATAATAATTTGAAATACAGTGCCAGGGAAATAATCAGATCTCCCTTATCCTCCAGTTTTGTGTCCCTGAAAATTCTAGCGAGGTTTGTTCTTTCGGATCAAAATCAATGTAACACAACAATTTACAAATTTTTATCAGTACTATACTCTTCAGATAGGCGCCTACTAGTTCTCGAGTGGAATCTTGCTGCTGGATAATATTTCCTTCATTGTATGTGAGGTATGAGTGTTACACTCCATCGGGTTTATCTGTTCTTCGAACTGATTCAGTCAGAGTAGCTGTATTGAAATGCCTTCAATGAGAGGTGCATTAGATATCGGAAGTGTGACAAGCAAACTAGATCGTTCATGGTACATTATGTTTGTTACAAAGTACTAGTTCTCGGTCATGCACCCGAACGCAAAAGAAGTCAAGTCAGAAAGGATGTGATCCTTCGTCCAAGTAAATCTTTTTTTCATCAGGACAAACTACAAAGAATATTGATTGTCAATTAAAAGCAATCAATCAATGGAAAAACTGCTTACAACGAGAAGCTCAGTGGTGTACATACAAATTACAAAAATTGCTTACGACTCGGCCCCCTACCTACCTCTGAATGTGTACATGCGCGTTTGGCGTTTTCCTCTCGATCTTGGCAAAATAGTAAATCGTTCAGGCGCCATCACGTTTTCATACTTCGTCATTCTCAAGATTCAATCTTGTGGACTTCTTGTGCACCGAATTGCCGTCAGTCACCAACCTCCTTGATAATTTAAACTAATAATACGGGAATTACATAATTTTAACTTCTCATTCTCTAATAAGGGTTCATATTGATTATCATTTTATTTTGTGACCTATGCATTTTTCTACATTAATTAATGGTTCTTTTGGACTGCTCGTCCTGGAAGAGAAATTCACGTTCATTGATATTGTAATGGTTTTGAGATTCAATATTCTATGTTCTAATCTAGAAAATAAACATTTTGGAAAGCTTGATTTAAACAAAAAATCAAGTGACCTGATTCGATTAGCAGTTGGCTGTATCCACGAGAACTAGTACTTTGCATCTTAGCTAGTCAACCAAGGCTACGTTCCTGCTCTCTATGTATTTGTTATATATTGGGAATTTTTGCTAAATCAAAAAATTCACATGTTTGTTGATTGATCTGGCACATACATACTTGGGCACTTTTTCCACAACCTCAAAACGAGGATGCCTGTTTCTTAGCAGTTGCTTGCTACTAGAGCGCATGAGACGGACGGCATGTATCAAACCTTGCGACCATCTACGGCGTTTACCACATTGGACCTTTGTATTTGCAACCATTGTAAAAGATCCAAATGCTTCTGAAATTCCGTTTGCAAATGGCAGAAAAGTTGCCCACTCACTTGCTGCAGATATAGCGGGTACGATACTAATGGGTGATTTTTTTGATAGTATCTTTTTGGCAACACTGTTTTTGACAGATGACGCGTGAATTGTATCTTGTGTCATTGTCAAACTTGTTCAGTTTGGTCTATAATTTAACCATGAATCGACTTACGAACGAACAACACTTGCAAATTATTGAATTTTACTATCAAAATTCATGCTCGGTTAAGAGAGTGCATCGAGCACTGCTTCCAATTTATGGGAAATTTGGTCGGCCTACTGAGGGAGCTATTCGGAAGCTTGTGACTAAATTTCGAACCCAGTTTACATTATTGGACATTAAACCACCAACACGCAGACGTAGAGTGAGGACTGAAGAAAATATTGCGGCTGTATCCGCCAGTGTTAGTGATGACCCCGAAAGGTCGATTCGCCGCCGTTCGCAGCAATTGGGCCTCTGTTACTTCACTACGTGGAAAATTTTGCGACAGGATTTGGGTGTAAAACCTTATAAGATACATCTGGTGCAAGAATTGAAGCCACACGACCTCCCACAACGTTTCCAATTTGGTGAATGGGCGCTGGCAAGGTTGGAGGAAGATCCACATTTTTATCGAAAAATTGTGTTCAGCGACGAAGCTCATTTTTGGTTGATTGGGTTCGTTAACAAGCAAAATTGCCGCATCTGGAGTGAAGACCAGCCAGAATCATTGCAAGAGCTACCAATGCATCCCGAAAAAATCACTGTTTGGTGTGGATTATGGGCCGGTGGCATCATCGGGCCGTACTTCTTCAAAGACGACAATGGCCGGAACGTAACTGTGAATGGCGAGCGCTACCGTGCGATAATAACAAACTTTTTTTTGCCCAAAATGGAAGAGCTGGACTTGGCTGACATGTGGTTTCAACAAGATGGTGCCACATGCCACACCGCACACGAAACAATGGCCCAATAAGAGGCGAGTTCGGTAACAGTTTATCTCACGTTTGGGGCCCGTCAATTGGCCGCCTAGATCGTGTGATTTAACGCCGTTGGACTATTTCTTGTGGGGCCATGTTACGGTTAATATCTACAGAGATAAACCAGCAACGATTGACGCACTGGAAGCCAATATTGAAGCATTTATTCGTGAGATACCGGCCGATATGTTGGAGCGAGTGTGCCAAAATTCGACCTTGCGCTTGGGCCATCTAAAGCGGAGCCGCGGCCAACATTTAGATGAAATAATCTTTAAACATAAATTATATCGACCGTTCTATCGACTCAAATAAAGATTTAATCGATTTTTCAAATTTTTTTTTTTTTTTTTGAAAATCAAATCCTATACCTCTAAAAAATCACCCGTTATAAACAAAACTGTGCCTGCCTTGCTTTATGCGAGCTGATTCTAGCCGCTCTTACGTTGCAAAAGAATGCTACTGTACAATCAAATTGTGATGATTTGGTGCAAGTTTCGAAAATTAAAATAGCCTACGATACTGTTATTACTTTTTTATGGATAATTGGATATTAACAATCAAACAGTTAATACAACCGCCTACACACTCCACAGTTTTGTTACTTCCCAAACAGATTATGTTGAGAAAACAATGTTTCACTATTCATGTATTATAGAATGCTAACGTAGTGAGACGCATGGTGGGTATACAGAGAATCAGTTTAGCAAGTGAGTAAACTGTGTAGTATTTGTGCCTTGTGCTCAGAGGGATCTTGTATTTAGTCTGGCATCGATCATCTATTAGTCCATTGTTAGATAATATTTGTACTTGTATTAGACGTACACAATATTCATTTACTTTTTTGGGATTGACTCTTATTCTTGAGATAAGCGAAACACAAAAAAAAAATGAAAAAAAAAATTAAACTAGTTTCCTAAGGCTGTATAAACTGCACTGGGGAAAATCGATCGGACTAAATAGCCAAAAACGGACCCTATTCTAGAGAACATGGTATGACGGATTTTACAACGAAATTATATTCCTAAGATTAAACGAAAAAGTCTTACGTCTAGAGGTACAAAAATTTTGCTGGATAAACTTTTCTATTAAACGTCAAAGTTGGAAAAAGAACTTTTACGTTAATACTTAAAAACTATGGAGTATTGATAAATGGTCTACAGAGGAGTTGCAGGGGATGACAAGACGTTTAAAGTCAGACATCAAATGTCCAATTTGCCGCAGCACTCTCGTCGTTATAGAGCTAAATAATGACTGTTAATCTCAGATAATTTATTAACAATCCCAAATTTTCGGAAAACGTTGAGCATTTTTGTAAATTTTTTCTGAATGCAAATTCTTTGAATTTTGACTACTCTTCCATATTTGCTGTTCGGTACTTTTGTTAAAAATAATTGAATAAAAAATTAATCACTACAACCAATTGTATATGTAAGCCCTCATGTTGAAGGTATTTCTATGCTCTAGAACTTTGCTCTGAAGCAGTCTTACCAAAGTTCCATATTATTCTGAATATATGGGAAAACTTCAATTCTTCAACTTTGATGCTTAATAAAAAGTTACCCACCAGTATTTTTTTTATTTCTAGTCTCTAGGTGAAGAGTCTTCTCATTTACCTACAAAAATATATTTCTGTTGTAAGAGCCCCCGATATAATATTTTTATGAAATTTTAGATATCCTGGTCAAAAAGGCATTTTGCATTTTGAAGACTATATATGACTAGTGTGCTGGTCAGATTTTGGGATAACATCTAAAATTTAACCTGTGGTTTAAATTTCGATTACCCCCATGCTTGCCAATAAAACCACATGTATTGACATATTCTCTTTACTGTAGTAAACGTTTCGATCACAAAGTTCAAACCTGTTCAAACGAACTTTGTGTCGTTTGAACAGGTAAATCAAATATTGTCAGCGTACTGAAGAATATCACTCCGGTGAATGAAACGTTTACTGCAGTAATGAAGATCTGTAAATACATAATGGTTTTATTGGCCACATAAGCATAGGGATTAACTATATCTCTGAGAAAAAAACTAAAAAAAATACCCATATTTATTAAAAAATCATTTTTACTATGAGAATGATATGAAAGAAAATATATATACTGTTCACTGAAATAATTACAATAATTACAAAAAAATATCTGTAGGCTATTCTATCATGGACAAATCCCCACTAAGGTCCAGCAGCAGGTTGCCACAAATGTGGTGGTCACATTGACTTTGGTATCTTTCTACTATTCTCCTACTGTACTGGTGAAACCGTTCTCCTTGTTATTTACTGTAATAGCCTAGTCTGCCCAGAAACGCGTCCACTTGACTGAGTAAAAGATGAAACTCAATGCTCATATAAGTTGATAATCTCTTATGTTTTTATCATTTTTATTATTTTTTGCTAGTATGGAGTCTTATGTTACCCCAAAAAATGTATGCCAAACTTAGCGAGGGTTCAGATCCGTTTGTGTCATATGGCTGACAAATTCAGGGTATATTATAAGGGAAATTTGATGTTCATCGAGGATGCCTTGTTACAATTTCCTCATACTCAGGGTTGGAAATTTTTAACGCATACTTGATGTGAAGTGATTTTAAATTGCACTTTTAGCCACATTATGGCAAACTATCGCTGAACTTCATATTAGGGATTCTCCTGAGTAAAATCAGGATAGGAATGCTTACAGAATGTTTTTTAATTTTTTATTTATTTTTTATTATTCATGTTAATATTTAGGTATGAGGTAACACTTTATCTAATACATTATATTTGCTATTTTCCCAATATTTAGGACATTAGTCTCATAGGGCATTCACTGCAATCTGCCGTGCCGCAAAATGACTATTCCACAGCGCAACAGATCAATAGGATCACTTATTCTGTCGGTATGTCAATCTGTCCGTCGGCCCGCCAGTGTGTCGACATAATTTTAATCCTGTAGTTTCGCAAACGGCTGCACCGGTTTCGATAAAATTTGAAGAGCAGCATGCTGTGCAGTCATAGATAGTAGATAATCCTGCTTAATTTTTGAAACGCGTTTAAATTGTAGCAGGTATTCCCACGCTGAAGATTAAAATCCCATTGGAAAATGGACGGGGTAGCACCCAAACCAAAACAACTAAACGTAAGGTACAATATGAAGGGGTACTACTCCACAAACTGGTGTTCGGCACAAACAAATGGCGCTGACACCACAATCTCAGGAGGAAAGTGACTGACACGAAACACCTACCTTAATAAAGGATGGTTCAATGAGTGGCCTTGAAGAAGATATGTTCGATAGGAACCCAAATAACGGAGAAAAATCAGTTCTTTTTTCAACACAATACTGAATCACTGAGCAAGAAATATATAATACGTGTGAAATTATAAAGTCAATAAACTATGATATTTACAAAAATAAAATCATTGAAAAGGGTTTGGCCTAGGAATGGGCACACTACCATTAATAAAGAGAAATTCAAATTACTAGAAAGTGATCAAAATAGTAAAAAAAAATGGTTACGTGATTTTGGCACGTGACAGTATTATGAGCAAAAAATAAAACTCTATTTTTGTAAGCTTTAATGTTTCTGAAAATTCTTGAGCATCATCAAAATTTTCCTGATGATTTTAGGTAATCCTAAAATTTTGTCGTTTATAATTACTCCAGGCATTGATTAACGTATTCTACCTAAAATAAGCCTTCCTAATACTGTATTTCGGCATCCAAAAATTATCCGAGATGAAATAAGCACATCTATGAGACACCAACCTTTTTAAAGTAGATTTCTTATTGATGCGGAGATGAGAAAGGCAGTTGTAACCATATGTTAATCAATGCTTCAGGCTAGAGCGTAGTCAAAAACAATATTATGGAATTTGAAAGTTTTGATGTTTTAGAAAAGCTTATGTTTGACCTACATATGTATAAAAACAATGATACTCAAACAGCATTTGTGTGGTAAGGATTTTCAATTGATACGTATGGAAAATTAGCGTATGTGAATGCGTGGGAAGTACACAGTCATTCCACTTGGCGCTATTTTCATCAAATCATCCATATCTGAGGACGATTATAGTTTTTCGAGATTTTCTGTCTCTGAAGGCAGTAGGAAGTATGATAGTCATAGTTGTCTCGTTGATAGAAGTCCTAAGATAATTTAAACTCGAAAAGCTACTATTCAGCTGTTAAATTTATAATCTGGGGTGGAAAATATAAAGTATGCTATTATCACCTGGCCATAAGATCTTAGGATACGCCCCAGTGAAATTATAGTTTGGCGTACGACCTAAAAGCTTGCGTGAGGTTTTGGATAACACTAAGGATTTTCTTCTTTCACACGTCCAGGCCCTTAAGCTGGGGCCCCGTAACATTAATACGGCTATTGCTATGCCTCTCAACCGAACCGAGTACAGAAGGGTACGAGAATCTGTAAAATCGTGTCCGGCAATACACTGCCAGACCAGAAAAGCAGTAAATTTTGCTATAAACGTTGCGAGTACATACTGAATGAATAGGGTAAAATTGCCACACAGTGCGTGGAAAAATCACTACAACTTGCCTGTCATGGAAAAGTTTTTTGCCATGATGAACTGGGCATTTGGGAACTTGCTAGTGTTATATTTCCATGTTTTCAAATCATTTTACATACATTTAGGCATGTCTACCGTTTTTCAATTTTAATAAAAAATATGCCAGCATAATGTTGTTATCAACCTATTTCGGTAAACCTAAGGTTATGAGTCGAATGTATGTCGAATTTGAATATGTTAAATTATGGTGGGAACTTTGTGGTACATCGGACCTACCACGGCCTTAATCATAATTAATCACCTGGAATGTACGGTCTTCAATGTGGTAGTTCTTCACTTTTTTTATTTGGAGCTTTTGAATATTTATGCCCTTATCTTTATTCCACAACTTACTCATCAAACCTGTTAATTTAAAGTTTTCTTATTTTCGATTCATATAAAAATATTAGGTACTTTAGTATTTGACTTGAATTACAATTTAAAGCATTATTTTCAATTTCACTTAACCTTTTGGAAACTCCATCAATAAGCCAACTGTTTTCATACTTGCTTTTCCTTCTAATATCCCCGTATTATAGTGCAATAAAAGTTCGTCGTTATCAATGGAAGTTGGTTAGTCATCAGCAGGTGCGACTTATAAAACTGCACTCATCTGTTTTCCCTGGCATTCAGGAAGCCGAAAAACGAAGCAACGGCAGCAATGGTGAACATCATGGAAGATAGGCAGCGTAGTAACCTTGTATTTTCACTGGTGGCTGTGATATGCTTTTCGCAACTATCTAGTGTTGTTGATGCTCAGTGCGTGAAAATATACGGTAAGTTTTTCTTCTTTTTTAAACATTCTTTTTATTTTTGCTTTTTGGTCGAAAACAACATCATGTACCTATGAATTTCATCATCTACAAGTAGAGAAGAATTTTGTTATTGATTAGGAAAAATTCGAAATTTATTGTTATTATTTGAAAACTGGTTCAGGAAAACCTTACATACACAAAGTCAGGACCTTAAGTAAGAACTTTCAATCATCAATTAAAATTTTATTTTCAAGCAAGGATGTAAAAGGCGGATACATGGTTTCTTAATCCCTTAAACATACCCCTTCTACCCAAAGGTAAAGGGTTTGTTACATCATATCAGTATTGTTATCGAATACATATACATATGAAAGAAATCTTATACTCTGGAGTTCGCGAACAAACTTTATCCATTTTCCATTATCGCGTGCTATAGTTCTGGCTTCTCTCCTGTTCTTTCTCCGCTAGGTAGATTAACCACTGATTCGTTCCATATCGTACGTGGCCTTCTCTACCTCTGTTTTCTATACTTCTTGTTTCCCATATGTATTTGGTGGCTCTATTATCATTCAATCTAACTAGATGGCCATATCATCCGAGTTGGTTCCGTTCTATTATGAATATAATTGGCACTGTGAGTGTTTCCGTTATAAGTAATTTACTAATCCTATCTCTTCTAGTGACTCTCAAAATTGGTCTCAAATATTTCACATCCATACATTGCAGTTTGCTTCTCATGCTTTTGGTGAGAATCCAGCTTTCTGATCCAAAAGTTAGAGTTGCTATTGTTTTAACTAATGAATGAGTTTTTCAAGGTATGATATAGACGGCATACGCTCTCCATTCTCTTGTTAGCTTCTATATCGTGACAACCTCTACCATCTATGTGGACTACTACGTATTTGAAGCTATTCAATTAGCTTGATGTTAAGGTGGAGAGATTTATTTTTCTTTCAGTTCTTCCATATATCATTGCTTTAGATTTTTCTGTGTTGCGTTGTTTTTCCTTTTCTCTAGTTGCCTTTCACCTTAAGCTAATATAACAAGGTTGTTGGCAAATGCGCATCAAGAGATTTTCACTTGTTGGAGGTTCCTGTATTCCACGAATATAGGCGACGTTCGCTTCGTTGTTCCTTTCATCACATCATCCATAGCAATGTTGAATAGTGTAGGGCCAAGAACTCCTCTCTATCGCAATGCGTTGTTTGTCCAGAACTGTCTTCATGTTATGGGTCCTTACATAGCTTTTGTACTTTTTGTGGAGGCTCACTATTGCCCTGTCTACATCTGTGAGATACTTCTCTTTATAATAGTTCCCTCTACAACTTTTCCAAAGGTCCTATGAAATGCCTTCTCCAAGTCTACGAAAATCTGATATATTTCCTTGTTAGTCTTCTGGATTTTTTCCATGAGTTCCATGTGAATATGCATAATATATAATTTTTAGTTGATGTTCTATCGTGTAGTTAGTTTTATTCCTAATACTCTTTAATACTGTTTGGAGAGAATGCTGAATAAGGTAATTGTGCGGTAGTTTCCGTAGTCTTTTCTATCTCATTTTTTGAAACTTGGCATAATTATTGCAATTTATCAGTATTAATGCATTTTCTGTTTACCACATTCATTTACAGATCCTAATCAATCATTCAATCCTCTTCTCGTCCATATTTTGAAGCATTTCTGCTGAAATTTCGCCCAGCTGCTGTATATCTCAAAGATTAGCAATTGCATCTATGACTTAACCTATTGATATGTCCTCTGTCTATGTAGTAACCTCATAGGTAGTGTTACTAGCTTTTTTTGTACTTGATTTTGTGTTCAGAACCCTTGAAAATACTCCCTCCATCTATCCAATATTTTCTTGTGATAATTTAACTTTTTTGTTTTCCAATAGTGTTCAGGATTTTAAGAGACTTGTAAAACAGCTCTTGATTTGAGTAGTAGCGTTGTTCATTTTTATCCCAAATTCTGCCTAAGATTTCCTTTTGGCTTCGAAAACCATATTCTTCACGACTATTCTTTGAGCTTTATATTCTTTGTAAGTTTTTGCTTCTTGGTGAGTATCTCCTTTTTGATATTGTTATTCCACCATCTTGTGATTTTGCTTACTGTACACCCTAGTTGCTCCACATTTCTTAACGACAAAATTTGCATACGTACACTTCCTGCCTTCTTCAGGAGGCATCAGTAGCTTAAGTCATTTCCTTTTATTAGTGTTTATCGACTCGAAAATGGATTTAAAATACGATGATGAGTGACTCTTTGATCAATTCTGTTATTTGCTCCTTGACGATTATCTAAAAACTTTTTGTTATTGAATATATGCTATCTAATTCTTCCTTGACAAATCAAATGAGCTCTACGTTTCTGTCAAAAATTCACGTACAACTATGCTGAAAGAGATCTGTAATATATGATGGGGAGATTGTAGACTTGAGACGTCACGTATGTAGCTTAAATACTAATTAGTTTTTAAGCATGAGGTTGCATGACTGCATTTCAAGCACTATCAAATATTAGTCGATGGTATTTAATATAAAAACCAACAGTATTTATGACGCTATTATCAGAATCTAAAGTCCAAACTTTACAAAACTATAACAAATGTTAGAAAAGGCGTGGATGGTTTTGATTCTTCGAAATATTAAATAACCATTGAAAATCGTTTAATGTGCATATAGATCAAATTCACTTATTCGCATAGGTCTATCAGCAGGCAAGAATTGGCTGAAGGCTTCCGGAACAACTTATACAGGGTGTTAATGAAGTATGTAGACAAGCTTGAGGAGGTGATTCTTTGCGTAATTTTAAGATGAAAATTTCGTATAAACATAGGTCCAGAAATTCTTTGTTTTCAAACTTTATTTTAAAATCGGTTTGATCCTAAATATCCTAATTAACTTTCAGTCGATTTTGTTCAAATTCTGCAGTAGTATTAAGGACAATACGAGGCTAATTTAGCTCCTATCAGATTGAAATCATCAAATCCAGTGGCGTCCCGGAAAACACCCTAACCAATATCTTTGACAAAAAATTTGTGCGCCTATGAGTTTTCCAGTTTTTCCAATATTTCTCAAATTTAGCAGCTTAAAATAGAACTTTTTTATTGTTTCAGTTTCTTTCATATTTCGCTTCGTTTGCGAGATAATAAATAATAACCACTTTATTGCACGTTTTTGTTAATTACGTTACACGAAAGTCGTCTTTTGATTTTTTTTGCTCAGATTATACCCACTTTCAATAAAACAAATAAGCATAAAATATTTACTTAACGTTATCCATTGTTGCCAAGTTTTGCCAGTGGCGTTGCACAGTCTCTCAGGAGACAAATAAGTTTTATTTTTAGCTCCTTCGAAAGAAAATGAAAAATTGAAAAAGTCAGTGGAGCCCAATTTTTTTGTCGAAAATATTGGTTAAAGTAAGTTTTAAAAACACTTCAAATAATATAAATAATAATCACTGTTTGAGTTTCAATTGTTTCTCCTTTCATGGCGCTCTTATTTTTTGTTACTTTTAAAATATTGCTGTTATAAATTATAACATTATGCGATTATTATATGTTATTTTGTTTTATCGAAATTAGTTTTAAATATGTGCGAAAAAAATCAAGAGATGACTTTCGTCTAATGTTAGTTTGGTGGTTTCAATGTTTTATTATGTTATTGTCCCAGAGACATGCAATCAAAACGAAGCGAAATAAAAAATTCGGCAGACAAAAAAGTTGTATTTTTAGCTACTTAATTCGAAAAAAAAAATAGAAAGATTGAAAAAAGTGGGGCACAACTAAGATATTGGTTATGGTGTTTTTCGGGACCCCACTGGACTTGACAATTTCAAACTAATTGGGACTAAATTAGTCCCTTACTGCCCATAATACCACTGCTAAAAATGAACAAAATCAACTGAAATTGTTTTAAGATATTTAGGAAAAACCGAAAATGAAGCATTTTAGGACCTTTTATTTATATAACAGATTAGTTTGGGATTTTTTTGAAGCATTTTCGTTTAGTTTCACCTTCTTATCGTTTATTTTCGAAACGTAGGTCGGCAACTGTAGTATTCTGAAAATTGTGGTACTTTCCAGATAATAAAGTGACCGACCGAGATATCAAGATAATTGTAAACGACCACAATAGTATAAGAAATCGGATAGCAAGTGGAACTTTCCCAGGGCTTCCTAGGGGCAAAAACTTCAAGCAAATGGTAAGCATGAGCAACAAGTAGAGATTAACTCTACAGATGATGAGATGACTCACTACGAAGTTGAGTACACTTATACAAAGCGTTTCACAAAGGTCATCTCGCTACATGTTTTTTGAACTGGTCAAGCTAGCAAGTTGAAATTTAGAATGGTGAAATTGATGCATGATTACATAATACTTAAAACAAAGTCTAAAATCACTGTCTTTGAAGATACTGGACAGGCAGTCTGTTGAACGTTTCTTTATATTGAATCGCTTATCGCTCAACTGCTAATTATCAAAACTTGATAGGATGATAAGTATATCAAACTTCTTCTTATGGCAGGGTCTACCTGCTTATGCAATGAAATATTGGACATTTACTTTAAAAAATACAGTATATGACTATTTTGTTGAAATGAAATGTTCAATATTCTATAACATATTCACATGGAGCCTTCCAAGACAAGAGACCTGATGATATCTTATAACGCTTTGATGATTGATTGTTGAATAATACACGTTTCAATGTCGTCAAGTCATCGTTGGTTGTCAGAGCGGTCCGTGGCCCTAAAATATCTCCTGACAGATCTTACGATGTGTTGCTCCTCGTGGAGGTCATTATCAAGATCATAGTTGGGAAAGAACTGTCTTTCCATGGCATCGGCGAAAACCTCCACCTTTTCCTCTGTCCTGAAGACAATGCCTCCAGGACCGTGGATGTGTGGGATTTGTTCACGCTTTCCGTTTTTGAGCGACTTCGCCACCTTCCAGAGAGGAATGCTTGAGTCAAGCATCCCCGATAGAAAGTCGTTCCATTGCTCATTGCGGAATTCATGAAGAGCATTTCTTACTTCATGAACAAGATTCGTCGCTCTGCGAATGTGATCAGGATGACAAGACCTTTTCGCTTGCTTAATTGCAGCCCTTTTATCAGAAATTTTCTGACGAATGTCTGCTGGCAGAAAAGGTCTGCCGTGTCGCTGCACGGAAAGTACAGCTGCACGCTGCAGAGCTGCTGAACAAAACTTGTCCACTCTGTTTGAACCGTTCTCATCATCTATGATCGGAATATTTTGGAACTCTCTGAGGAGCGACTTGTAAAGCTCCCAACCAATGCGTTTCCTTGGAGGGGTTTCATCCCCCAAGATCTGCTCATTACCCACTTACAACGACGGGAAGATGATCGCTTGTGACGTCATACATGATCCGAGAAGTGATACTGTATCTACAGTTTTTGGACAATGCAAAATCAAGAACATCAGGTGCCAGAGGGTGATTAAATGAGTAGTGCGTCGGCTCCTCAGTACTATGTATGGGGTAGCCATTTCGTATCACATGGTTGTACAGTTGGATCCCACTGGTGGAATTCAACCTAGAATGCCATGCTCGATGTTTGCAGTTGAAGTCCCCTGCCACAATAAGTGGACCCGAGCAGTTTAAAAGGACTTCCAGATCCGCCTCTTGTAGCCTGATACCACACCTGACATACACCGATGTGATTTTTAACGGCACACCTCCCGTTATATTGACCACCACGGAAGCCGCATCGATGCTCTGCATCTCAGCGTTTGTGCTTCTGTGGTAGTCAATGCCGCGTTTCACTAGCACTGCCAAGCCGCCACCCCGTCCAGTCAATCTATCAGCTCGGATAACATCGTAATTCGGGAAAGCTAGTCGATCTCCCGAATTAAGTAATGTTTCCTGCAGCAAGGCCACATCTATACTTTCGTCCACAAGAGCTTGATGAAATTCCCGTTTTTTGGGAATGTCCCTTAGACCCAAACAATTCCAAAAAATAATTTTGATAAATGCAGGCTGTCGTCTATTGTACCTAGCCATTTGCAGGAAAGATCGCCTGCAAAGCCTGTGTTGCGCTAATCAGAGGATCTATGATCTGCTATGAGGACCTTAGTGCGGTTGCCAGGTCCACATTTTGCGTGTTCGCAGAAGATCCCACAGAGGGGGCAGCCCGCGGGTTGCATCCCTAGCTGCATCCGCGTAACTTACATTGCGCCTTTGCGCTATCACTTGCAGATTTTTCATAGGGGCAAATCTGCAAGTTCGGCTATTTGCTGGGTGCCCCCCTCCACAGTTCGTGCACTTCCTCTTGTTCTGTTTGAGGGCATAAGTGGGTCATGTGGTCAGAAGCACATTTTAGACACTTAGGCAGTAAGATTGCGCATGCCCATATTTTTGGCAGCGGTGATACTGCCCAATGAGTCTTGCGTTCTTTTGAACGTCGACTCGGATAGCCAAACCTAGCAGGTCATGTTCGTTGAACAGCTGCTGAGATTTTTCTATCTTGGGCAGTATGACTACCATCAAAGGCATGGGCACGCCGCCACCGCGTTTCAGGCGAATTATGTGCAGGCTGGAATATCCCGTCTGTTGCAACTCTTCTTAGATCTCCGTTTCTGAAAGTGTCGCAGGTACTCCTCTGATTACAGCATGAAGGTTCCTCTCCGAGGGTAGAGGGAAAGTGTGGTGAAGCACCTCTTCCTCCCTGATCAGACGAATAATCCTACGGTAATCATCCTCTGACTTGGGAATTATCCTGATTCCTGCATCGACGGCAACCGCGCGTTCGAATTTGATGCCCAAAGAAATAAACTTGTGATTTACGCCTCGCCATCTGGAAGCATCGCGAGGAACGATGGGGGTAACACGTACCTTGCGTGAGGGCTGTGCAGTCATGTCTTCTGATAGCTGAGATGTCGAAGGCGAAGAAGTAACCGATTGATTAGGCACAGGCTGTTTATTCGAGTCGCTTGCAGTTGAACGAGACGTTTGAGACTGCGATTTTGGTGGAGGGAGAGGAGGAAAGCCTGTCGTGTCGGTCTTGTTTCGTCGCGTTTTACGGGACTTAACCTTGATAAAACCGTCACTACTACTTTGTTGGAGTGTTTGGGAAGAATGTGTAATATTTAGATGGGAAAGTACCTGGGTTTTCAGCAGGAGGTCTAACTTAACTGTTAGGTCGTTAATTTTCCGCTGCTGGGCTTCGATTATCATCATCAATCTTTCATTGGTCTTCTTATCATCGCCCTTTTTGGACAGCTCCTGTCGAATCATCTCCAATTCGGCTCTCAACTCCTCTACAGTCTGCTCCTTCGACTCCGTCTCGATCGCCATGGTGGAAGCGCCATTTCCTGACCCCCCTGGGTCAGTTTCCATAGTAAATACCTCAGTTATCTCGCTTTTTGTCTCAAAAATTTTCCGGATCGAAATTACGGGACAGCTGCTATCAGTGCCCTATACAGGGCGATTTCACGTTTCAATGTGCAAAATGCTCAACTTTGAAAGTCTGTCAGTTTGCAATTTTGAGAAATGGTGACTTTTAATGCTAATAAGACAATAAAACACTGTATAAGGGTGTTCCTTAAATGAGGGCGTTGTTAATATAACATCTGAAATTTATCCTGTGATTTTTACGAGGTCTGTAAATTAAGTGATTAATTTTTCATTCAAATGATTATTACAATTTTATATTATCACCCTCAAAATAACTTCCTTCTGAAGCCATGCAGCGGTGGAGATGGTTCTTCCACCCCTCATAGCAGTACTGGAACTACGATACTGGAATAGCCTTCAGCTGGTCGGTCACTTCTGTTTGAGTGTTTTTGACTATCCCAAAATGAGTACCCTGGAGGTGATTTTTCAACCTCGGGAAAAGAAAAAAGTCACAAAAATTTAAGTCAGGCGAATAAGGAGAGTGATGAGCCACAGGAATGTTTTCAGTGGTCAAAAACTCGAAACAACATTCTGTCGATATTATCATCGGTTCTTGAAGATGAAGGTCTTCCGCTTCGTGGTTCATCTTTAATCGACTCTCTCCCTTCTGAAAATGCCTTAAGCCACCGGAAAAACAGGCCTCTTGACAAAACACTATCTCCGTACTCCTGCTGAAATTCAGCAACAGTTTCCGTTACACTGTGCACAAGTCTGAAGCAAAACCTGATATAATAGGAAAAACTGTTTCACAAAAAAAAATTGCTACGTATAACCAAATGACTCAACCGAGTTCAAACTTGTACTAAAGGCTGATCACATGTTCCCCTGTCTCTTCTCCAAGCCAGGCGTCTCCAGTGCTGTCAGAACGAACGCTACGTTGCGAGTCTCATCAATTAATTTACAGACGTCGTATGCTGAAAAATCTCCATGTTTAGATGGCCACCAAACAAACAAAAAATATGAAATGCATTATCATTGTCATTTTTTAAGTTGTACTTTTAGAAAGATTGTCAAGGTCTTCGAAACGTTAGAAAAAAATCATATCATGCGGTTTTACTTGGTTTTTCGGTATCGAGCCCTAAAACTTGTGGCGCCGGAAAACAGCGCGACATACCCTAGAATAACTGCGCTCCTGAGCACATGGTTGACTGTGTTTTTGTTTTACAGAAATATGATCAGAGGTTAGCTCAAGAAGCACAAAAGATCGCTAATTCATGCAGATTTGCACATCAAAAAGTTAACGATGGTAAGTAATTAAGAGCTGCTAGCTTCGCCAGTTATTTAATTACCGATATGTGTTTCATTTTATTTCATTTATTCTATTATCATTTCTCAGTAAAAATAATTGTATATATTTAATGTATAGGATTCACAGTCATTGAAAAAAATACAAACATACAAACAACTATAATATTCAAAATATAAGAGAAACAAAAATCACGTTTAAAACTAGCAAGACTGAAAACACCAAGCATTTATATACATATAAAGTAATCGACAGAATACATAACTTTATCAACAAAGTAGTCTTTTACCTTAAAGACATTTAAGGATATTATCCTTTTAAGGTCATCCAGTAATGTATTAAAGATTCTTGGGCTCAGGATTTTAGGAGACCTGCAGCCAACTTTGTATTTCATAAAAGGTACATGTAAATTGAGTTGCTGTCGTGTATTGACACCATTTGCGTCTCAATTTAGATCAAAGATTTCTTTGTTGAGAAAATGTAGATTGCCAGTTCGTTAAGAAATAGTCCAGGTAATGTCAAAATATTCAATTTTTTAATAGCTCTTTACAGCTGTGTACAGACAACTCCCACCATACATCGAATGATACTGTTTTGGCTCAAAAAAACTTTTTGAGTATTAGCTGAAGAGCCGCAAAAGCATAACGAGACGAGACGCAATTTGTTCATAACACAACATCATCAACAACTGGTCCTCATTATAAACTGATCTAATGTTCTTAAGCATAAATGACAGTGAATTTAGCTTGCTGCTTACATGTTCACAGCGCGCTGGTAATCTAGCACAATCACCCTAATAGAGCCCCAAAAACTTCGTTTCCTCATTAGTATTAAGAGTACTGTTATTTAAACTTAAGTTTGACGTCTTTTCACTGTAAAATAGAGATATTTTACAAAATTCAGAGGGAGTACCAGTGTTTTGTATCTTAAAAGTATATCTTTAGTGTTTCTACTTTTTTCCATGAACTAAATGTACAAAGCTGCGGCTTAATGAGTTTTACCGTGATGTAAGAACTATATGTCTTTCCCTTTGAATGCGACCATTATTTTGCATGGTGCTTATCCTTCATTCTCTGATGTTGAAACTTTGACAAGATGTAAGATGAATCTCCATGTATCAATGGCTGCCAAATAATATCACAGATTAAGATGAAATCACCAAGATTAAAGATTTAACCTTCAACTCTACATCTGTGGTTTTATTTGACGGCCAGAGATTGGAGAGAAAAGTTCTCGACCTGACACTCCAGTCAACTAAAATTTATAATCTTTACACTAGTGCTTATATTATTTGTTTGTTTGACAAACTTCTACTTGTTCCCTCAAGTAGTTTGTCTACACGAATTTTTGAAGTGAACTTCTTGCGTGCTTTCCATTAAGATAGATAAATATCGCGCTGTCATCAAAATCGCCATGTTGGACGGATTAACTCCTAAGGAAATTCTTCAGAAGTTAAAAAAAGCTTACGAGGACTCGGCTGTTTCGATTTCAACTCTTAAAAAGTTCTCAGTTGAGCTTAAACTTTGGCGCACCTCTCTTGAAGGTGACCTACGGGAAAAACTATCAAAAACTGCAACCTCACCTGAAACCATCGAAAAGGTCCATGTTGTCATCTTAGGCGATAGACATGTGAATATGAGTAAGATGTCCGAAGGCCGTGGCGATTTCGGAAGAAAGGGTGCGAAACACCTTGGACAAAGAAATGGAGATAAGTAGACTCTGCACACGGTGGTTTCCTCATTTGCTGAATGCTGATCAAAAACGGTTGCGCAAAGAACTTTCGAAGGTATGTTTGAACCAATTGAATAACGACTCGACTAATTTCATGCAACGATTCTTTAGCATGATTGAGAAACAGAACAGCAGCCAAAGTAAGGGGCGGAAGCCGGTGGATCCGCGCCAAAGAAAAGTCCATTGAACCTCCCGGAAAGGTAATGCCTAGTGGGTTTTGTGGTGCGAAATTGATTTTTTTAATTGATTCAAAAAACGAAGAGTAATTATGAACGAATGCAAGTCCGAAGTGCTTGATCAATTGGATAGCAAAATTCGTGCGAAGAGGCCTATGTTAAGAAAGAATAGGGTCATTTTTTACCAGGACAACGCCTTTTGCCAGTTTTCAAGACTTCCACTTTCAAGATGGAACCCTAAGGTTGGAGAAACGTTAGGTCAAGTTTGTTGGAGTCGAAATGGATTATGTAAAGAAATGAAAGCATTTTTCCACCAAAAATCGTACACTTCCATTGTCAGGCCGAGTACTTTTCAAACTAACTATAAAATGCATTATATCCATAAATACTTTTTTCAGTAGCAGCAAAAAAACGAATATATTTTGTTCCCGTTTGTTTTGAATCTGCATAGCAAGTTGTTTTCATAGATATAGGTCGATTCTTTTAATAGTTATTCCCATTGGAATCACAACTATTATTCATTTTAGAAAAAGATCAATAAAAAGTTGGACATATAGTACTGCGTTTTGATCCATGAACTGTGTATACAGGCTGACTTTGAAGTTGAGTCATTAATTTTCAGATAATGATTGTAGAAGGAAGATAAACCAAAATATGTGTGTAAAAATAAAAAAAAATTAAAAAAAAATGTTACCTTGTTTTATAAAGTATCCTCCCGACAAGTATTTCAGTGCGGCCCTGTATTTGATCGTGCGGTCTTGGAGCACCGGCATGTCCTCCCCTGTGAGGTCTTAAGTCACCTGATTCACGAGCCCTTTGTACTACATTAACAAAGGCACGAGGGGTTGGTTGCACTCGATTGGGAAACCGATTCGCACAAATCTGTGATGCCGCGGCAGCATTTTGTAAAGACTCCCCCCCGTAAATAAGAATCATGTCCACAAGTTCAGCATTTTCGTAAACATGTGCCATTTTTCATTTCGTTTGAGTCACGCAACAAACACCACTATTCACTCACGCGTTACCGACTGACGAAAAACATCGTGATAAACGTTTCAAATTCTTTCGCTTTTTTGTTTCCGATGCGATGAACCGATAAGGCGGATTATATCCGTTGTTGCCAAACACGAGCACATAATATTATTATTGAGACAGGGCGGTACTCAAACTTCTAAAGGGCTATAACTTTGTTACTTTAATTTTACCAGAAAAATGTTAAAGGAAAAAAACATTTCTTTTGATCAGATCTACTCACTGTTAAAATAAATGACTCAACTTCGAAGTCACCCTGAATGATACTTTTGGTTGTGGCCGACATTGGACGGACGGACGGACATCTATGTTGCAAACATGTAATAAACAATAAAAAAGGCAAAACCTAAATGAGCCGCTTTTCATATACTTCACAATAAAACGCATAAAACTCAGATAAAAAAATAACTTTATTGCAACACAATACAAACACAGTGCTTTCAAAATAAAAGTCTAAATTAGAGAGCGTAAACTTGTTCTTCCTCTAGGCATTCGCAGAAGTTATGTTCCTCGTTATCACTTTGGGCTCCTACTGGTGCAATATTCAAAGCATGATTAAAAAAAGTTAACGATGATAATAGAATTTCATGTTCCCAGTCGACCTCAAATCTTGCTTAGAGCAGTTTTGTAGATTATTAGCAAATTATTAACTTTTTCATGCAAAACCACACAACAAAATAATCACGTTCACAGGTGTTCTCAACTCGAACGACTAATGACATTTCAAAAATTATGTCATTTGGTAACTAAATACCATAATGCGTTCTGACGTGACAATTTTTGCGGACATAATGCGTTTCGATGCAAACATTATGTTTTGCATTCAAATCAAAGACAGATGTAATGCTATTTGAATTATTCGGGCTCAAATAAGTATAGAAGAGATAAAAATAGATCCAAAACAAACCGACTTTTGTCCTCAAGTGGACATTATGCATTTTCATAAGTTGCTTCGCAATTATGGAATCATATTGACTCATTCCATCTGCGGGGAATATAAGTGATTTAAATGAGTTCCCTTTTAATGTGTGCACTTCAGAAATCGTCTTCTCCAGCATACGAGTGAAAAAAAATGAGGATAATCATCATTGAAAAATGTTTAAAAACTATCTATGTCGGCTGTAATTTTGCCTAGGTTGGGAGTACTTTCTATATATTCTTATGACAATTTTTGTGTTTGTTTAGGGCGTTGGGGTTGGGTTGGGCAAAACCTGTATATATCGATGAGTACCGCCAATAGCAAAGGAGCAGATTGGGGTGCAGCTGTGAGATCTTGGTCTAATGAAGCTAAGTACTATAAATATGGAGGACCAGTCACATCGCAGAATGGACATTTTACACAGGTAGACATACTATGAGATGTTAGTCTAAGGCTTTATCAATATACACTTCGTATCATGCTAAGTTACCAGCTGAGAGCCTAATCAAGGACATGCTTTTGCAAGAACACCTTAGACGACCGATAGTTCATGTTTCCTTAAGGTTGCACATACCATTTTCCAGTAGTTTCTTTGGAGTGCTCTTCATACCCTTCGACTGGTTGTTTTATTTTGTGTATAGAGATAAACAATATCATTTTGTCCAAAAACGCATTTTTATGTCTTATTTTTTATTCGTAACTCGTTAACAAATAATAGTACGTATTATAAATTGTATTAGAACATTCCACATTCATATTAGATTTGGTAGGTGCTCTATCTCTGTTCTATCGACATGCCAGCTGATTTTACTATTCTAACCTTTTCTTATACTGCCACGTCCTAGGCCTATCATCTGACAGGTTCATCTGAACATGGATTTTCTAGGCCGCGGCTCGCACTGTGATAAAAAATTAACGCAAACTTTTAGTAAACCCAAAATACACTTAACAGAACCTAAACCAATATTTGGTTTTAGTTCACCTCAAAATTAATCCGTGTACCAAGTCAAGAAACCTAGGTGTTTCCTCTTAAACTAATACACTTCTGTTTTTTTATTTCATACTTTTTTCTTTTCTTCTCTTTTCCTTTCTCTTTTTCCTTGACATTGCCTGGTTTCTGGGCAACCAGGACTGACAGATTCGACTAACGTACATTAGACAATGACAAATGGGCAAAGGTCCTACGGACCGCCCAGGCAAACAAATGACGAATAATATACGTATATCGACGGATTTTGCAACCCATTCTGTCGTTGACGAGCTTTGTATATCCAGCTGCTTTGTTCACAAAGTAGGCATCGAGAATTTGGAACAGTCCAGAATAGAAATTAATATAGCATTAGTCGGTACACAAGTCTTTTTTTGGCAGTATAAATAACTATAATGGCATTTTTCAACTAGACGTATACCCTATGTCAAAATGAATCTGTAGCGTACAAAAAACCAAAGCAAAAATCGGCTCTGTCTACCTGACGTTGACGGATCCGTCAGAATTATGTGTCCTGTGCCGATATTTCGAATTTTGAGATATTACTAGATAATCAGCTGTCATTCTACCGTGATGGATACTCGTGAAATAGGATATATTTACGTATAGAACGTTAGTGTTTGTCAGTAACGGACTAGATTTACCTAAGATATATCATTTTTCAAAATTGACAACTTGAATCACAATGTTTTCAGATGATTTGGGCCGACAGTGAATTCATAGGGTGTGGATATACCCATTATCTGTCAAATGATGCTAAGTGGAAATATAAGAAGCTGTACGTCTGCAACTATGGTCCAGGGTGAGTATTTTTAATTTGAGAATTAACCTTGGCCGTATCCAAAAAACCTTCTCAATATAATGCAAGGCGTTACAAAATCTATTACATTTGTGATGATATCGTAACTATTACTTTGATAAATGATTTCATCACTAATGTGCTTCAGACTACTTTTTTTAGCAGAGATGACACTTGAAAACAACTCAACATCCTCTAAAGTTTTTTTGACGAGTCTCATATTTTTAAATTAAAAGTCAAATGCAACAAAAGTTGGCGATGGTTCAAAAATGTAACTACTGCTCACCAATCCTTTTCAAACTTATTCGGTATGGTTGAAAGAATAATTGCAACCCTTGATAAAAGAAACAAACATGTTCGAAATGAGCTAATTTTTGGCGAAGTCTGACAAATATTGAAATAATTAATAATTTAATAATAATAATTTAATGGTATTTGAGCTTGAAAAAAGCTGTACGAGTAGGTATATACAAATATATAGAGATAGCTATGTCCAAGATACAAGTCTCGATTTATTTATAGTCGATTATTTTCTTTTACAGGGGGAATATACAAGGAAGAAAACCTTATCAAACTTAGTGAATATTTTCGAAGCAATAATAAAAAATCATGAACATAATAAAAAATTACTGAGTAAGATGTTTTTTTTATTGTTTACTCCTCATAGTCCATAAGTGTTATATTTTGATTAAGATATTTGTACGGATGAATTTATGTAGTTTCTACCATCTGTTAACAGAGTACAGATCTCTGTTATTGTAGTATTAGACAAGGACTGTATACTCATATCCATTCGTCTTGAAATGAGTCAAAGCTTTACTCAAAAACAGTAAAGAAACTGAAAAATGCTTCGTGATTGAAATTTAGAAAATTGTAACAATAAAGAATTCACGCCATATGTCATCACTTGCAAAGAAAAACAAGAAATGGATTTCTAACGATTTCTAAAAAGCTTATGTAGCTGGTACTGCAGCTGGATCTATTACGTGTTGCCTATGATTCGATATAGATATTATGTATATATGTGTGTTGTGGTATCCGCATTATGACATCACGAAGTGAATAATATCTATCATCAATTAGATACTAATGAAAAATGCATGTATAGTATATCAAGAATAACATGCAAACTATATTGGCAATGTCGCTTGATTAAGGAATAACTACAATATACTACGACGAACTGTAGCACGTGTAGATGTTAACAGTTCGGTTAATTACCTATAACATTAAAGTTTGTTTGTTATTGATAATTCCGTCTTATCAAACAAGCATGTCTGATAATACCACCAACATACATGATTTACACATAGGCGTCAATGCCATACCTACCATATTACATATCACGTAGAGATTCTAAAGTAGATGCGAATGGAAATAAACATATGCAGATTCAAACATCTGCAGTGAGTATAGAGTGACCCTGAAACGTTCATCACGTAATTCCGATCAGTTTGTGCGTCCGTTTGTAGATGTTAGCATGGCAGCGCCTCTAATTAGTCTAAACAATGGGCTGAAATGCCCAGCTCTTGGATTGGGCACTTGGTTGGTAAGTACACAAATTAAAAATTAATAATTGATCCATAACATCAGTGGATACACGCTAAAATGGAATGGGGTCGAGTAGGTTAACTTTACCGGTATAGTGTATTCACCGTAGGCGCCCGCAGGAATTTTTATCAGGTAGTGCCGTTCATCGACGAGATAACTTTTTCTGAAAGTGTACCTGCACCAAATGATGTTTGAAGAGGAGAAAATGAAAAAAAATCCCAAAACGTACACAAAATCATGCTAAATCTAAAAAATTTAAGGTCCACTCGGATTGTCAGATGGGCGAGTGACACAGTCCCCCTGGCCCTACCCCTGTAGGCGCCCATGGCATTAAGCAGCAACCTCCTATCTGTGCTTATCCATCCACTAAGCTTAATATGCCCATACAATACGAGAGCGGTCCGATAAGTACTTAACCGACAAAAGAAAATGTTGGAAAAGTGCTGTTTCATTTTTCAACATAGTCTCATTTTAGCTCGATACGCTTGACCCAGCGATACTCTAACTTCCTTAATCCGTCTGAAAACTACGTTTTCTGGAGGTATGCAAAGTAGGTCTCCGTGGCGGCGATGACCTTGTCATTCGACACAAATTTCTGCTTGGCGAGTGAGTTTTCTAGTTTACAATTTCGAAGCCAAGGTGGATGGGGCAGCAGTTCGTAGCCTAACTCGACTAATTTGGCCATGGCGACGGCGCAGGTGTGAGCCGGTGGGTTGTCATGGTGGAAGAGCACTTCGGCCAAATAATATGGCATAGTAGAACCCTGTGACCGTTATTGCTTTCTCCAGGTAGTCGACAAGGGCGGATTGAGGATTTTGTCTAGGGGGGGGGGCGCAAACGATCTTTGGGGCTGGTAATTTTTCTACCTCAGTGGAACTTCTAGAATTTATCCTATTATTGCTCCTTAAATCCATTGTATCCTATCTGTTCAATGCCAACTTGAAAAAAAAAATGGAAAGTGCTCAGAAATCCTCAGAAAGGCAATATTTTATTATATGAGAACAAAAGAATTACGTGGCATTTATAATTAACTGCTTTAATAATATTAAAGATTAAAACATAAAAAACTTCATTGCTCTGTTAACAAAAAAAGACATTTTGAGGGACCCCGAGACATACCCCAGCCGTTCCACACAAAACAACTGTGATGGCGAAAACGAACATGAGACCGAAAAATTCACATTATCGTATGGACGCTAGACGAGACAAAGAAGGATGTCTATAGACTATCTATAGATCGGGTACTAGTGTGTACTAAGCTTAAAAATAACAACAAACCATTCCGAAAGATAAATGTTATTTTTATGCGAAAAGCAAAGGTTACGTTTTTTCTTCAAAGCAAATTCAAACATTTCGTATTTGTGAGTAATTGAGCAAATGCGCTACGATATTCGAAATACATTCGTTACTATACACATTTTAAAACAAAGCGAATGTGTCTATCATCTTTTGTTGCAAGTTACTCACAAATACTAAATGTTTAAATTTTTTTAGAAGAAAAACGCAACCCGTCATTGTTTTGCATATAAATAACATTTATCTTCCGGAATAGTTTTCGATTCATGTCGGCAAGGTAAGCTAGTGTATTTGGCTATAAAATGCCCTTTGAACTAACCCATGTACCTATATTGCTCAAAAAAACTAGTAGTGATGGTCGGAAAACACATGTCTTGGGATAAACAATTAGAAATTCTCACAAACTACTCGACAAATCTACTCCGATTTTGTTGTGGTTGTTTAGAAATACCAATCCTACGAATTTGAAGAATTTCAAATATCTGCGAGAATCCGTCGTCGCATTACCAACACGTGCCAAGACCTACAGTTTGCCTCGGTTTTAGGCGATAACTTTTTTGCTATTAGGCGGATGTTTTTACGTGTGGTCTCATTTTGTAGGTCTCATAAATACTTAAAAATCTTATAAGGAGGGTTTTTTCGTTCCTCCAATTATTTAGATTGAATCCCAAAAACACGTTTTCTTATTCTTTGTTTTCGAATTAAAAGTTTTTCCACAAAAATTGGTGTACCCATTTCATGCGCCCATGTTTTGAATACCCCCTTAAGCAACTTGCAGTAATAAAACCAGACTTTAGAATTATTTCGCAAACCAGGGGTATTTTCGTCTAATATGATTAGACTAATAGTGCTTCGCTGCAACACCAACCCCGAACAAAATCAGTCAAACTTTAGACACTTTTCAAATTACTATTGAGCAACAAACAGAACATAAATCACTTTTTAAGTGCAATCTGTATAGCTAATATATTGCTTAGACTTGGATTTGTCACAAGTCACAATACTCGTATATACGTACCTATAAATCGTAAGAATTGTGCTGTAAACGTAAGTGATATCGAAGAGGGACAGCGTTTGGAATACCAAAGGATACCAAAAATCGCAATGCTCAGTTCCTATAGCTATCACTTATAGTTAGTATGGCTCTGTCGCCATTACAAAAGCAAGTGTCAGACGTCTAGGGGGGGGGGCGCCACTGGTAGTCGATATAGACCACACCTTGTGAATCCCAGAAAACGATGGTCATCACCTTTCTGGCCGATAGGGCTGTCCTTTGGTCTCTGGTGTGTACTCGTGGATCCACGTTTCGTCACTGATCACGAAAGAACACATAATCTCCTTCAAATTGCGCTTAAACAGCGACAAACACTGCTATGGAGTGGTCTCATGGTTTAGTCAACTTTGTAGTACCCAATATTTTATGCAGGATATAACCCTTTTGAGGTGCTTATTGTCTCTCGCGCACCTTCAATCGGCTGTCTGACAATACGAGATCGTGGATTTCTGCCACGTTATCCTCCACGGTAGCCGTTTTCGGGGCATCTTGCCATCAAAACCGACGTGCAACCACGTTGAAACTCGTTAAACCAATTTTTAACAGTCGCCATCGAAGGAGAAGAGTCACCGTACGCAGCATCCAAGCGGTCTTTGATTTCGCTGCGCGATTTTCCTCCCAAAAACAAGAATGGAATCACCAACCGACATTGCTTTTTTTCCATTTTTCTAAGATTCGCGGACACGCCCATTTCCACACGTGGTCAAAACAAAACTACGCGTCCGATTCGGCCTACTATGTACTACACGATAGTAAATTTCTCTTGCGATATTATCGGACCGCCCTCGTAGATGACGGACGTATGATGGTGGCGGAATTTTTTCTGATATGATGCTTCTTGCACATTCATATCGCTCGTGTGTCTGTTTGCTTGCATGCCATCGCGCAGGATCAGTAGCTGAAAGGGACATCGTTTTTTTGTGTTTTGATAATGTTTTCGAATATTTTTGGATGATCTCATCATCACTTGACGTAGAGAGAAAGCTGCTTTTCAAAAAGACAAACAATCAAAAATAAACTCATGTTTTCCTGCATGTCGTCTATTAAAATTCAGACAGTTATTCAGTTGCTCTTTTCCGATTTTCAATGTGCACTTATCAAAGCTCTGTGTTGATTGAAACTAAATATATAGGTCTAAAAAAAATATACGGAGTTTTGCATTTCATTATTGCAAAGTGCTGTATACAATATACATTTTTTAATATAATATTTTAATAATTGTATCATAAATTATGCAAATCCAATCTAGAATGGAATTAAACTATTACTTATGCATATCAGTTTCAATATAGTTCGTTCTAGAACTTCATTCCTTAATTAACAATGCATTGCAAAACTTGCTTGCCTAGTAGCAAGGATAATTTTTAATTTGAGTAGCCATTGCCTGGAATTCTGCATTGTAAAGGAAACAAAAGTTCTTATCTCATGCAATACTGGTAGATAATTCAATCTCGTCGCAGTACGATTTTTCAGAATTTTTCTCAATCATAACGAAAAACTAATTTTTGGAAATCGGATGCCAGTGCTAATTTTTTTGAGGAAACTCAGGCATATACAGTATAATGGAATTTTTATTATCAGTTTGAAAATATTATGTCTATTGATAATATATTTATTATAATACTCTGACCGGCGGGGTGTTTAGGAAGCTATATCCCTTTCAATGGTAACAATTCCGGAATACACCTCAGGTAATAAAAAGCATGTAGCTTTACTGTCAGTTCATCTCACCTGATACTATGGAACGTAAAGGCAAGGCAATGTCTAGGCATAATAAAAACGTACGGTGGTAAATCCTGAATCTTAGGCTTTATATAGGAATAAACGCTAGATATCTAGCATATCGTTCTCCCAAAAGTAGCAGTACGATCGGTGTGCTAATAATACAGAGCATCAGTATTGAAAAAAATATGGTATAATTCATTTCATTTCCATTTTTTTGTAATCGTAGGATGTCTAAGTGTATATTATATGTTAACAGATCGTTATTCGATAGACTATCCATACATAGATCGGGGCTTTCGGATTAGTCAAAAGCACCTCAAAATGTTGGACCAAAGTCCTCCTCAACCATTAGAGTCCAAAATCTTATGAATTGGCTTTTCGAATTGTTCTCTGCTTCCAGAGGGCAATTAATGAGTATATCGCAGCACTACCGGAAGTCAGTAATTGCCGGAGTCCAGCCTGCGTGGATGCAAATTGGTAATCGGGAATGTTTTTACGAATCTGGGAACTTGCGACCTTATTCGAATATTCAACGTTATAGACATAGCATGGCAAAAGAACCCATCAGAAATCGTATGAGGTATGCAGTTTCCGAGATACAAGGCCTAAAAGTTGGCCAGTTCTTACCATATTATATGTACGTACATATGTAATAGCTGTTTAATATTTTTTACGTTATTATCATCCCCACCGACCAGCTCTCCAACCTTGCAGTTTCGTTCATGCAGAGGACTAAACTTTCATGGATGGTGTATTGCTCAGAGACACAAACTATATAAACAATTATTGAGGATTATTCTGCACCATCTTTTTGGGAATGAATTTAAAAGATTTTAGGATTATAAAGTATTCTACTAATCCTTTACTATATATATATATATATATATATATACTTTTGTTATATATACAGGGTGGCGACTGACCCAGTTTCCCGAAATTTAGCTATGAGTTCTAGAACATATTTTCGATGCACGTTACTGTTCTCATGTCGCTCATTAAGTATTTTTGCTGTTCTATTAGCGCACTGATTATTTCCGAAAAATATTTCGATAATTTCAACTCTTTCTGCTGTGGAATATACCATGGTTAATTTATGTAATAAAGCGTAACAAGTTATTTTAGCAACAAAGTTTGATCAAATCAATCGCAAACTATGTACTAAATTCCTATTTAAAATAAGTACGAGATATTTCCTTATCTTTCTTCAAGAAATAACTTTTTTGCCACAAAAAAAAACGCTTCAATAACTATTTTCAACAACAAAATGATAAACAAACCATGGGCGTAGTGAAGAAAAGCATTTACTTATTAAGCAAATTCTTTTGATCAAATTTCTTCTGAAAGTAGTACAAACTAATCTGATGTAGCTATTAAAGTCTACTTTAAGCTTTAAATCAATAAATCTTCAAAACTACTGAACTGAAGCTCATGTATTTTACATTGAATTGAAAGACCTTTGAAATAATCACTCGACCCCCCCTTTCCATTTAAGATTTTAGGATTGGTGTCACCCCCGCCCAGGGGGCTGCACGTATTAACGTGATTTTTTGCCAAGCTTGTCAGTAAATGCGTGTTTCGTTTTCGATGCGCCACTCTGTATATATATGGCGCATCGATATATATATATACCTATATTTAGATAAACCTACATACGGGTAGTTGTTGAAATAATAATTAGATACTTTGTCTGGAAAAAGGAAGTACTGCAGCCAGCACCTCGACCCCTTCAATACACAGAATACTGAATCTTCTGTCAGAAGATATCATATAGTTTTTGATTGCTAGCGTATTTATCCGTTTCTTGAATTGTTCTAGTCAATTAGCTGTAAATGATTCTTTAAAATATTTGGTCCGGACTCTCCCTGTGTATTCAAGTGTGTTTATGTTAGGAAATCAGAGAGATTCGCTTGAAATTGCAACTTTCTCACCCTATCTGTTAAATATATATACATATATCGGAAAAAATCGACAAAACGCAGAAACAATTAGGTCTATTCAAATAGGTAATAAAAATATGGTTAGCTATTAAAACTAACTTTAGTACCCAGTTCAGTAGTGTGTACAATAATGAACATTTTTTGAATTTATTCCAGCAGGGATGGTGCAGGAACATCCTCAACAGTTTCTGAAAATTTTGTGTTTTGGAGCAATAATCTATCTTTGGTACACCCTGCACATATGATAAGATTGCAATATTGGTGAGGTGGACAATGGTAGGGATGATAATAAGAACGTCAAATATTTCAAACAGAAATTACAGAACGGAATGATTAACTGGGAGACCATCCTGGAGACTTTTCAAAGATAGTAAGTCCAAAGCCATTCCCCATAAGGTTTCTGCGCGGTTTTGAGTGATGAACATTTTACGGTAATGCGATTTCATGTTACCGACTGAACTAAAACCAGGGTTTCTGCTAATATAATGGTACATTTTTCATTACAGTCAGCCCCTGGAGAAGTGAAGGAAGCAGTTAAGTGCGCAATAAGCATAGGTTATCGACATATTGACTGTGCTTGGTTGTACGGGAACGAAAAGGAGATAGGGGAAGGGATCAGAGAAAAACTAAACGATGGTACAGTGAAAAGAGAAGACCTGTTCATCGTGACGAAACTGTGGAACACTTTCCATGAAAGAGAAAAAGTGGTCCCTGCTTGTCGCGAGAGTCTGAAGAACTTTGGGCTAGATTATGTTGACTTGTATCTTGTACACTGGCCCTGCGCTCAAAAACATACAGGTAACGTCTATGACAAAACCGTAAACTGGAAACAGATTAATTAAGAACATACTGCATCTTTTTTTGGTAGTGTTTCTTAGAGTGGGCGATAACGCCCCATTGGGGGCGCTGGGGACCTTCGGGTAGGCAGCAAACAGCCTAAACGAAATTGGGGGGGGGGGGGGATCAGGCGATGAATTGTTGCGATGCACCACCTACCGTCCACCCTCCGAGGGCGCCTTATAAATAAGTTAGAGAACCTCTGCATATACAGGGTGGTTAAACATAGTTACAGTTTCGTCATAGCAGAACCTACACCCGAGGATCTTACAAGTAAGCTTTGGATATTTTCTAAAGAATAACAATTATTGTTGCTGCCAGTTTATGGAAGCATATTTGGGGGTATTTTAATTTGCAGTTTTGGATTCCTAAACCTAAAGGGCATCTACTTATGTCCTCCGATGTCGTTATATGTATTTACTGACAATCCAGTCGATTTTGCCACAAAATGCATTGGAAAACGTTAGGATGAAATAAAGAATTTCACTTACCTCCTCTAGAGGATTTCAAAACGGAAACAGGAACACGGTTTCCTAGGCGATCCCACCACCATCCCTGCCCAGGCACCCTCACTATTTCCGGCCCAAGTGGCGGTACGTGGACTAGACGCTCCTGAATCCTGTGTTCCCGTCGGACGCAGAATGGCAGTGGTCATTTATACTCGTGTACCTTCCATTTTGGTTTTACGAGTCTATTGAACTCTTCGGCTTATTCATCTTCTTTCTTGAGTTGCCTCCTGAGCATCCCGACAAATGTCGACGTCGCCAGCAGGTCTGCTTGTTAGTGCCATCTAAATGCCCCGCATCTCAAATGAGATCGCTGCATTCAGCATCGCAAATCTTCGCCGTCTAACTACCGGTGCAGAGCTTTGCCTCTCTTCCATGCAGTATCTTTCTCGCGAGGTTCTACCCATCTTCTTTGAGACTCATCAGCTGCTGTGTCCCATGTCGTCTAGCAGCTGGCTTTTCGGTGTTTTGTGCCTGTGTACGAATATTGGATCGTAGTCCAGGGCTGCCTTGATAAGCTGGTCGTTGTGATCTTCGGTGTTGTTGAAGAACTTCTGGGCTCTGATCTTCATAACTTCTAACACTGGCACTTGTCTTAGGTCTTCATATAGCTCTCGATTGAGTGCTATATTGTGTTGTGCTTGGAGTTTCTTCTTCCATGTTTTGGCTGCGTAGCCCAAGCAACTGACGTGTAGGTCATTGATCAGCAGCATTTTATTCTTCAGGACAGCTTGCTCCTCCTTCCAAGCATCGGACTTAACTTGGATCTTGCCATCTTGGCTTTCATCACTTGGACTTCTATGTGGGGTATCCAGGTGAGCCGCTTATCAATTTTGACGCCGAGGACGTGCTCGTGTCTTTCCATTCCATCGCTTTCTCCTCGTCGTGTCTTCGACCTCTCTCGACCTGCGTAGAGATTGCCTTCAGGGGCCTTCCGACTTTTATTTATTTATTTATTTATTTATTTATATACAGTTTGGGGTGTTAACAGGTAAACCCAACACACACCCTCAGTGAACTAAAACTAAACTTACATAAAATATCGTATACATATACGTACATATTATTGAATACTTCAATATTAATATTTTTTTTATCTTCCGATATTGTTGTAACAACATAAACTGAGTGAGTAGTTCTAATTATAAGCAATAAACTATTACTTTAACTTTTTTAATAAAAGGAGTATACATAATTTAACATTTACTTACGTTTAATTAAAACTGAAATCAAAATTAAATTGAAATTATACCAGAAATGATATTGGAGGTAATAACTTGAGTTATGTAAAAAAATAAAACATTTCTATTTTAGTCTGCCATAGGGCTGCAATACTCATACTTTAAAGCCTTTTTCAGGAACGTCAAGCTAATGTTAAATAAATCTATATTACAGAAATTATTATGATTTTTTTGAGCCCTGACCAAAGGGGAATTAAGACCAAGATTAGTTCTACGGAACGGTATTCTAAACCGATGATAGGTTCTAAACGTTCTATCAGGAGTGTTAAAGTTCAAGTTTGCCAAAAGCACACAGCAAATGTCAGAAATCGTTCTTCTATCTTTTAAGGAAATCATATTGAACTGTTTCATAATTTGCGTATAATGATGATCTGTAACAGGTTGGTGAGTTTTATGTGCTAACATCTTCAAAAATTTGTGTTGAATTCTTTCTATCCTGGCTATATGTACATTGTAAGACGGATTCCATATTACTGATGCAAACATCAATTTGTTGTGTATATAAGCGTAGTACAATGAAAGAAGCGTTTTTGGGTTCGTAAATTCTCTGCATGTCCTGTTTATGAACCCTAGTGTTCTATTTGCATCATTTACGATATGCTCTACGTGAGTGATGAATGAGAGTTTCTCATCAATGTGACTTTTCCTGAGAAGCATCGCCTCGGTCTTGTCTGGATTCAGCTGAATCCTCAATTTCTTACAACATTCCTGTAGACTGGTTGTCGCTCTTTGTAGGTAAGTCGTAGCCATCTGGGGCTGAGATGACTCAGCTACATACACAGTGTCGTAGTGGAGGTAGGACCGCTCCCTGCGTTACTCCAGCCTCTGCAGTTCTTGTCGTGGAAGTTGTGTTTCCCAGTCAAATTCGGAATTTTCGGTTCTTCAGGACTTCACCTGCTGAATCATACCTGTTCGAGTACCCTACATCTTATAGATGAGTCCATAGTGCCAGATGGTGTCGAATGCCTTCCAGACATCCATGAACACAGCCCCAGCAACTCGTGGAGCTTGGAACGCTCGTGTTCCGTACTCCACGAGTCGAAGTAGCTGCTGCTCCTGAATCCGAACTATTCGTACGGAATATTCTTAGGTCTTCGGTTTGTAGCCTCAGTCTTCGCTCGATTACCCTTGCTGCAACTTTGTTGTTTGTTAAGCTAGTCTTCTTGCTCTATTCTTATCTGTGAGCTTCCGGTTCACCTCTGGAAAATAGATATCTGAACCTGTTGGGCTGCGTGATATCTTCTTCGTAGTAGTAGCATTTATCGGATCCCGGATCTTCCCTTCTAGGTCCTGAAATGCTTCCTCTATGACTTCAGGAGTCGCTATCTGAGATATTTCAAAATTGGGGTAGAGTTTTGTTTAAAGACAACATAATTCAAATATGCGAATAACTACCATTTCCAGATTTTTGGCACTATAACGGGCTCACTTATTTCCTCTACGATTGCAAACTTATGGAAGAACTGGAAAATACTGTTTTTGAAAGTTGTGAGTCAAGTTTAATTTGTACCTCCCACGTTTACGGACGGGGAAGTATTGTAATCGTGAAAATTTTCGAGAATGACATATGTTTTATACAATATTACTACTATGCAAAGGACACAAAAGCTTTGTTTTGTTTTCATCTTTATTAGCAAATATCTATCAACGGTCGTTGTCCTACACTCAAACTACCAACATCTTTCTGGCAGAAATGTAATTATTTTTACCAGCTAGTAGGTCCTTCTGTATATTAATTTTGCATTTTTTTTATAATTTTACTTTTTTAACATGTTTTGTGCTGTAATTTCTGGCGCTTTTTCTAGTTCTAGAAATTCTTATGTACCTGAAGATGGCGCCCGTACGCAGTATTTTTAATAAATGTTTCAAGTTGACCTAATTCCAAGAATTAATAATTTGAAGGGGTATTCTACGTTCCAGGAAAGATTGACTTTAACTTACCGTTCAAAGACGCAGTGAATATCAATTATGACTTTGTCGATACATGGAGAGGTATGGAGGAATGCGTCAATTTAGGTCTGGCCAAAAGTGTTGGCCTTTCTAACTTCAACAGTAAGCAAGTGCAAAGGATCTTGGATAATGCAAAGATTAAACCAGTGATGAATCAGGTAGGTTGTCAAAATAATGTAATAGTTGTACCATCGCACTCATCTGCCTGCTCATTAAGTACTTCAGATTCCTTTCTATGCTAATAAATACAATTGAGTCTAATCTGAAAGAACTTCTCCAAGGAGCAACTATTCCGATGAGTACCAGTGACGTCACATGGATTTCTTAACAGGTAACGACTGTGTTTGATCATCACCAAAAATTAATTCTTTTTATTTCAACAGCCAGTTGTGTACGAAGTGGACCTATGTACACACGTTTATAAGTTTACTCCTCCTCTAACTTTTTTACGACCTTCTAGAAGTTGAATATAAAAGTTATAGAGTCTAACATAAAGTTGCTTCATGTAATATTATTTTTATATACCGGCACGGGTATTATGTATCTTGAGAAGTGACATTTTGTTGTTTTTTATTTTTCGTAGGTTTTTTGTGATATATCGTAGGTTTTTCTACAACATGTTAACTTAACACAAGCTGTTGTACAATTGTTGTGAACGTGTTCCTTAAACGTCAGCTAACAGCGATCAAATGTAGAATGAACTATTTGCACACGAAAAACTACTATACATGGTCTACAAGATAAGAGTTCGTCGTTTTTTTTTTAACTTTTTTAGGTTTTCCACATAATACCGCTGCGGGTGTCTAAGAAAAGTGCTACCAATTTTTTTTTATTTTTTCTAACCGAAACACGGTGTATGTTTTCAGGGTGAAAGATAGTTCCTTCTTTTCTGATTCCAAATAAGATAAGTTTATTTGTACTACTTTAGTTACCAACAAGTTTGTGTGTCATTTCGAACTCGAACTACACATGGAAAAATTACACACAAAGTAAACAAACTAAGTATAGCAACCATACATATTTTGAATCAGACAAAAGAGACTATCATTTTTCCTGAAAATGTATGCAGTTTTCCATTTAAAAAACACAACTTTATTCGATAGCACTTCTCTCATATATACAGGGTGGGGCAAAAGTCGCGAAGGGATTTGAAAAATTAATAACTTTTTTAAATTTTAATTTTAATTTTTTTCCCTAACACAAAACTAAAATGCAATGTTTGGAGTTTGTTTACAATTTAAGTGTGAAAGATTACATCACGCAAATGACCGCCATTTTCAGCCTCGCAAAGTGCAGCTCTTGCAAGAGCATTTTCCATTACCCGAGTCAGAATATCTGGCCCCAAAGCACTTACTTCTGCTCGAATATTATCTTTTAGTTGCTGCAGGGTTGTGGGTTTATTAATATACACTTTTCCTTTCAGATATCCCCAAAGGAAATAATCAGGGGCTGTTAAGTCCGGCGAGCGGGCGGGCCAATTGAATCCTGAATTTCTCGAAATTAAACGTTCGCCAAAAATCTGCCTTAGAAGGTGCATAGTGGCTCGAGCAGTATGCGCAGTGGCTCCATCTTGTTGGAAAGTCATCGTTTGATTGTCAGCAAGAGCTGGTCTTAAGAAATTTTGAATCATATCACGATATCGGTCGCCATCTACAGATACAGCATTCCCATCGTGGTCTTCGAAGAAGAATGGTCCAATAATTCGTTGAGACGTAACTGCGCACCATACTGTACATTTAAGCGGATGTAATTGCCTTTGATGAACCACCCTTGGGTTCTCGGTACCCCATATTCTGCAGTTCTGCTTATTTACGAAGCCATTCAAATGAAAATGGGCTTCATCGCTCATGATCAGAGAATGAATAAATTCATTATCTTCTCGAGCCATTCTTTGCAAGCGAACTGCATAAGTTAGTCGTTCTTGAAAATCTGCTGGTTTTAGTTCTTGCACTAGCTGCACTTTATATGGAAACAGATGTAAATTTCCTCTTAATATTCTGCGTAAAGACCTTTGACACATCTGCAGCTCAGCAGAACGTCTTCGGGTTGAGGTTTCCGGATTCTCCTGAACACTCTCCTGAACGCGTTGAATGTTCCCTTCATTTCTTGCGGAACGTGGCCTTCCGCTTCGTGGGAGATCCATAACTGTGCCTTGTTGCTGAAATCGTGCCACTAAGCGTCGAATCATTGATTCAGAGGGCGAATTCCGCAAATTGAAATGACGACGATATGCTCGTTGAGTTTGAATTATTGAATGGTGATATTCAAAATAAAATTCTATAAGTTTGGTTCGTTGATTGAGGTTGTAACGCTCCATAATTAATCTCCAGGATTTATTTTACACGGTCCTGAAAAAAAAATGAAAACAAAATAAATTTAAAAAAGTTATTAATTTTTCAAATCCCTTCGTGACTTTTGCCCCACCCTGTAGTACAACATAAATGTTATATGAAAAACTTCATATTATATACATTATTTTCTTCTGGAAAGGTGTAACAAAAAAGCTTCCTTTGTGTTTTTTAAATATTCGAATACCCCAAATACTCGGCAACCATGTATTTTTTCAAAAAAATGTTTTACTCGTTTCAGGATAACAAAAAATCAATGTACCCATGGATGACCCCAAATATGACCTAGATAATGATCTCATAAGCGATTTGGGGGGCCTGTGTATAAATTCAAATAGCAATCACCATTTTTGACAACAAGTTCGTGTAAAACTCAAGATTCTTCATGAGGGTGATTTTTCATACATGAGCTTAAGTGGGGATAAGTGGTCCAGTCAGTATGGCCAACTGTAATGCTTCAAAAGGACACGCACATCACGAAAACGCCACAACCACTACTTTATACCTAATATATGACAGAGATAATGGCCTCAGAGGTCGTCATTTGGAGATCAAGTTTGCAAGTTCAAATAGCAATTCATTATATTTGCAAGCTAATTCTTGTAGAGCATGTGATCTTACATCAGTGTACATTCTTCTACTGTTGCCAAAAATAGTGCTTGTTTTTTCAATTTACAAACTTGACCTCCAAATGACTTATGAGGCTTCCTTGATATTCTGAAACTTTTGTTAGAACCCATTCAAAAATGCGTGGAGTTTCAGTAGGTAAAACTTATGACCGCTAACCTTTTGTATTAAAACGTACTCTACTTTAGAATGTGACTTGACAAATCTGACCTCCAGTGGCCACTGAGGCCATTAGCTAGGTGAAATTTGAGGTCACTGACAATTTGTTTTTTAAAAAGATGAGTGGTTGCCGAGTATTTGGGGTGTTCGGATATTTAATAGATATTCCCTATACTTTCTGTGTATATTCTAAGGCAAATCATGCCTCTTTGGAAAGAAGGTTAGTAGGAACGATAGAGTTGCCTCTCTTCCATTACCCTAATTGAGGGGTAAGAGCTGGAATCAAGAGTCACTTCAATCAACAAATTGAATTACATCACTTGTACATATTTAATGTTACCACTAAAAAATGTATGACTGATGTGACTTTGTTGGCTAACGTAGTTGCGCATCGCCTAAAGAAATGAATTTCCGAAACCTCAAAATCACAAATTTTCATCCTTGAGTGCATTACACTATTATTATTTAGTCACCGAGTCGTAAGTTGAACCCTAGATTAATGTGATCAACCTGGAATATGTTAATCACAATGCAAATGTTTGAATTCACATGAAATGCGAATGGATGCTAGCTGCTAAGGTTGCAAATCATGTATCCCCGTAAGGTTGTCATAATCTGCAAGCGATATCGTGCTTTATAAGTTAAGGGACTCGGGACCTCGGTTGGCCGCGTGGGTCAGAGTGTCGTGCTACTGATCAGCCGGCCGGCCGGGCCGCGAGTTCGATTCTCGCCTTCGCCATGGATGTTGTGTGTTTGTTTTAGGCAGCAGCGGTGGCCGCAGTAGTAGACTCTTCGGTCTCCTGATCAGTCGCCGTGTGCTGTGCGGGTTCGAGTCCCGTCCCAGGAGAAATGTTTCTCTTGGCCATGGACGTTGTGATTGTCCGTAGGTGGTAGATGGTCTCTGACTGTCGAACGCGGAGGTACCACCCGGCGGTTCTCGTAGGCGGAGCCAGAATGTTGTTGCATGCACACGTGTTCCCTCGCTTGAGTCCGTGTGGCGTCCCCCCTTTCCCATGTATCCCCCATAGCCCCACGGTACCCAATGGGTGCTTAGGCCTTAGGCCTTCGTGGTAGTTGGAGTATAAAAAAAAATAAGGTAGTTCACTGCATATTCCAAATTCATCTTCGGGTGCAGTAAATGTAAACAATATCAGCCAGATCCGCATTGAGTGCTGAAGCGCGCGATGTGAAATTTTGAGCATGTCTGTGGACGATCGTTCTTAAAAGATATCCCCCCCACCAAGGTTTAGATCTCTATCAAAAAGGACAATGGAACTTCATATAAACTTGTGACTCCTTAGTCGCTCTTAATCCAGTTCGGTCACAAATTTCGTCCCTAGCTGTTCATAAACTTCCAAATTTCATGCTCTTAGGTCTACTAGTTTTGAAGATTACATAATTAATTAGTGTCTTTTCGTTTTTATTTGTATCTACCCTTGCTCCCCCCAATCCAGCCCTGTCACAACACTTGTCCTTAGCTGACAGGTCCTATCCATAAGCTAGCGTCCTGCAAAATTTAATGTCCATAGGACAAATAATGTTCGTAAGAAGTTACTACAAACCTAACTTGAAGAATAATGAGTTTCACCCTCTTACCACTGTTCATATTTATAATTCACGGAGTTATTTGTCAATGTTCATTATTTTGAAGATAAAAAATACACGAAACATACTTCTATCTCTAGGCCCACTTCATCCACAGGGGTGGAATTTCCAAAATTTATTTATAAGTGCTTATTTATATTATATCAAAGAACGAAATATAGAAAACTCGTACTTGTATCTCTAATTTAAAAAATAATAATTTCCCTGTAGTAACATTTACCCCCTTCACGTTTTTTTTTCACAACAAAAGCAAACCACTTCAGTCGATCTCTCTTCTGAAGCCACGCAGAGCTGGTGACGGTTCTTCCACCCCTCATAGCAGTGCTGGCACTCCGATACTGGAATGGCCTTAAGAAGGTTGGTTAGACTATCCTAGAAAAGAGAAAAAGACTCAAGGACTCTAGTCAGACGAATAAGGAGGCTGAGAGCTACAGGAATGTTTTACTTGCCCAAAAACTCGTTTACTGACATTGCAACATCCAGTTGTTCTTGATCTGATGAACGGGGGTGTGAATCAAATTTAACTCTTCTCCGATCATTTTGTTACCCGACTATCTGAAAGGACAAGATCCTGAATTCTGTCGGTATTTTCATAGGTTCTTGGAGATGCGAAAGACTTCCGCTTCGTAGTTCATCTTCAATCGACTCGTTACCTTCTGAAAGTAAACCTCCGAAAAACCTTGACAGAACACTATCTTTGTAGGCCTGCTGAAGTTTAGCAAGAGGTTGCTTGAAATTGCTGTCATTCATTTTTAGAACATAATTCACACAAAAAAAATCGCTATAGACAACGAAATGACTCGAGCGTGTTCAAACTTGTACTGAAGGTAGATAACATTTGTAGGCCTGCTGAAGTTTAGCAAGAGGTTGCTTGAAATTGCTGTCATTCATTTTTATAACATAATTCACAAAAAAAATCGCTATAGACAACGAAATGACTCGAGCGTGTTCAAACTTGTACTGAAGGTAGATAAATGTTCTCCTGCCTCCCCTCCAAGCACGGCGCCTTCAGCGTTGCGACATCGAACGATACGTTGACAGCCTCGTCACTTAATTTACAGACCTCGCACGTACAAACATACACTCTTTCACATTTACACATTATAGAAATTATATATTAGTGGGGCTAGTAGGGATGCAAATATTATTTTTAGAGCAGACACGATTATATGATACGGTATAATGGACAAAGACTTTTAAACGTAAAAAATACAAACCTGCACGCGGGATTCACGTAAAGTCGAACTAAATTAACAGGCTGAAAGAAAATTCATATTTCAAAGTTGCGAACTTGGCAGCCTTCGATTCAAATGGTCAGTCACTGCCATAGTATCAGATGCAAAAATGTTGATGGATTTTATTAATCGAAGTTGTACATGCTAGGATGACAATAATAAATCTCCTGGAGTTTGCTACCTTGCATATAGAAGTAAAATTTTAAACACTCCAATAAAATGCGGAAAACTTGTTCTTGGAAATAAAAGTATAAAGAGTTTATGAAAATGAGGTGATGCTGCTTTTATACTCAAAAAGATAAAAAAACTTAACCATGGTAAATTTTTACAGGGATGAAGAAATCCGAGTAAATAATCGTTGAGGTGCACAGATGCAGAGCATTGGGCACCTATCTGTTTGCCATATTTAAATGAGAATTCCATTACCTACCCCTCGGAATCGTTTGCAAAGTATCGCCTATCAGTTAAAACATCGAAAAAATAACCATATATATAGTTTACAAAAATTTAAGATGCACTAAAAAATTATTTTTGGGCTTTATTGGCGGAGTTTAGAAACGCAATTCTTACACTCACAATCGTACTTAAACTAAAGCTTAATACTAATCCAACGTACAAATATATTTTTACGCATACAATAAACGATTGTATGTCTATGAATCCTTAAACATAGAAAAAAGAGAATGGCAATGGATCACATGGTTTAGAACCAAAAGACATATACTCATTGATACTTTGCTACATTTTTAGGAGATTAAGTCTAAGATGCAGTTAGAAACGGATGCCTACTATTTGAAATATCAATATTCCTGCTATACCTTAAAGACGGACACTGCATTATACGTGAATGGCCTATAAAGGAGTGATGTTAGATGAATATGCATTGTAAACTGGTTTTGAAAAACTATCAAACCATAACTAATAATCGATAGCACTAAACTTACAGACAGCTTTTCCTCGTCTTGAAGTTAATATTATCGAATTATTGGCGTACAGAACTCTCAGTTTCAAATAACACATTTGAGATGTATTGTTCTCATCTATCGTCAAACTAGCTACTTGAGAAACATTCAAGAACAGAAAAGCGCAAGTTTCGTTTTGCCAGTAGTTAGTTTCAAGTTGTGTTTTTTACAATTAACATATTATTTGTAAGTCTGTATTGATAAAATCATTTTACTGTTCCACAAGAGATGATTCAAAATAAAACAGAAGCTGCGTGTTATCAGCATATGATTGAATGTGTCAGTTTTGTACACATTTTAACATATCAGCTTTGTATACATGTATAATCAATAATAACGGTACTAAAACGGAACCCTGAGGATCTCCTGAAGTTATCTCAGATCTACCATTATGTAGAACGAGGCTACGAAGACTTGAGTAATTGCAAAATAAGTTCAATGCCGTATGGTCAAGGCTATAGTGATAGAGGTTTGCGCACATAACTGAGTGGTCAATGGTATCAAAGGCTTTTGAAGAATTCAAGGATATAAGTAGAGTGGAAAGCTTCTTATCTAGAGACCGCATAATTTTATAATTAAGATTTAAAAGAGTAGGTAGTGGTTATATTTCACCCTTCCTTAAAACCCAAACGATCCGAGCAGCAGGCACTCCCTTCCCTGTCAAGTAGAGAGATGATTGCCTACTGCAAATTTATATTCACATAATGTCACAAGTTCTAAATATCCCTAAGAGACCGTTCTCACCGTAAGCAACAGGCGACCATAACCAGACCGCAACCCGACTTGGCACGTATTCAAATACAAGCTTTCTCACAAAAGCGACGGCATCCCGACCAGTTGTTCAATGGTTGATGGTAGTACCGTCACTAGTCGGCTGGAAGATGTTTACTGTAGGTCTTCAGCTATCGTTGTGATGATATTCCCATAAGAAATTATTGATACCTCTATAAAAGTGCTTATTTTTTGGATCCGTAGCGCTGACAACCCTAGCTACAGTTGATGCAAGGAGTGTGGCAAGATAGTTAATGGTGTATAAGAGATCATCAGATTGAAAAAAAAACCTATTTACGTACATCCGTAGATCGTCCATTGCACAGTATATTTTTATGTATTAGGAGTATTTGTTAAATAAAAACACCACATATGTTGATTGATGGTCAACGCTACCGATGCGATGTCAAAATCGGGTTGAAAATAAGTTATTGTAGGATTGGTTTCGATGATAAAAGCGCCAGTACCAACCAGTATCAACTGTATATGTGTATTTTGTTATCTGCTTTCATTTTAGATTGAAGTAAGTCCCAATATAAACCAAAAGAAGCTAATCAAGTTTTGCAAAGATAGAGACATCGAAATAACCGCCTACAGCCCTTTTGGATCACCAGCAAGACCTTGGGCGAAGCCAGGTGAACCTGTCGTCAGGTTGGATGATCCGAAATTGATTGATATTGGGAAGAAGTATGGAAAAACCAGTTCTCAAGTAATACTGAGGTAATCGGTGACTTACAGTTCTCCTAACCTTAACCAAACTTCTTTAGTACCTTCCATTAAGTAAACAAATTAATATTTCCTGTTTTAGGTACTTGATACAGTTGGGCACAATCCCCATACCCAAGTCTTCAAACAAAGAGAGAATCAAGCTGAATATTCAAGTCTTCGATTTTGAGCTAACTGCAGAAGATATGAAAGTCCTGGACTGCTACAACTGCGACGGAAGGGCTGTACATGCCGAGGAGCTAAAAGATTCCCCTGATTATCCTTTCAAAGGGGTCGAATTTTAGGCCACAGGTCGCATCGCACCCATTGGTTAAATTTATTATAACTGCTCATTCGCCACTACGTTTATGGAACAAGCTAACCTTTAGAACAATCATCCATGATTTAAATTCAACGAATACGAGGACATTATCCATACGAAGATATTTCAGCGCATACTCATATAACACCGCTAAATGTTATAATCCATTAGAAATCATACATTTAAGTCACTATTAAAACAACGTACGTTCTGAGAACTTTTCGTAGCACTTAATCTTAAATATTTTTTATATTCACAGTAACACTGACATTTTAGAAGCATTTAATACTTTATTTATTCTATCACGTATAAAATATCAGACATTTTTATAGTTTACAGTATTATATATATTTAATGTAGACATTTTTAATGTTTTGTTGTGATGTCAATACATATTGCTTACCTACTTGTACATGTAATATTTATTTTTTGAGTTGAGTTAAATAACATGATCACGGATTCGCATCAGACGGACGCGACGCACTGGGTTTTCAAAAGGGCAACTATCTGATTAAGTGCTGATAACGTCATATGGATTGCTATTGACAACAGAAAGCTTTAGCGCTCACAAATGCTGCATACGTAAACATTCCAACCTTGCTTGCCAATTAATTCATGTGTGATGAATGTTAAATTAATGTGATCCCACATATTATGTACGTTCAATGGAGGACTTCTATTATCTTGCTCTAAAATAATGATTCAAACATATGACGAAATGACGAAAGATAAAGTTTCAATATCTTCTGAATCTAGATAATATTTTTGGGGGTCCATATGATGAATTGGAAGAATTACCCACTCAAGAAGGGGGGGATCAGGATTCCTGCTCAGAAAGATGTCCATCTTGGGGGTTGGATAACACTAATTGAAAATTGAAGAGCGGAGGGATTGGCGAGAAATCCTTTCGCTGCTGACATGCGATGCGCACCTATGTCAAGGTCTAGATGAAAAAAAATTCATGCAATGCCTTTTTTGTGTACAGGACGTCTCAATAAACTGCTAGCAAATAAGTATTTCTTTAAGATTTTAGCTGCTATAGTAGTAATATGAGGGCACTAAAGAACAATTAAAACGCAAAAGCAACATACAGGGTTTGTCCGGAAAGTAATAGGACTCATTTTCTTCCGCCATGACTGTACTTCGGAGCGTGCGCACACCGACTGGATTCGGTAGAGGGCGTTCCTAGCTAACGAATGAGCGGCTGGTCAGTTGTCTCCGAGCACTTGGAGAGTCAGGACAGGCATTTTCGCGCGACGTGTTTCTGTGAGTGGTGCAAACCGAAAATGCAGCGTTCGTTAGAGCAGAGGTACGCGATTAAATTCTGTGTGAAATTCGGTAAATCTGCGACAGATACGTTTGATATGATCAAGCAGGCTTACCCAGATGTTGCTTTAGCAAGAAGTGGTGTGTTTCGGTGGCACCAGGCCTTTTTGGAGGGCCGGGAAGAGGTCGCTGATGAAGACCGTGCTGGAAGACCTTCGACTTCGACAAACACCGATAATGTGACTCATGTGCGCAAAGTTTTGAACTCAGACCGTCGACTAAGTATTAGTTTAATTGCCCAGATGTTAAATTCACCAAAATCTGTGGTTCATGACATTGTGACACAGCATTTGAGCATGCGCAAGGTGTGCGCGAAGATGGTCCCAAAAGTGCTCACTGACGACCAGAAATTGCGGCGAGTGGAAGTGTGCCAAGAAAATTTGAACATGTGTGAAAGTGGCCCCCAATTTTTGAATAACGTAATCACAGGTGACGAGTCGTGGATCTTTGAGTATGATCCCGAGACAAAGAGGCAATCTTCCGAGTGGCACACGATGGCGTCTTCTCGCCCAAAAAAGGGGAAAATGAGCAAATCCAAAGTTAAAACGATGGTCATTGTCTTTTTTGACATCAAAGGCATCGTCCACCATGAATTTGTTCCTCCTGGACAAACCGTCAACACCAAGTTTTACGTGGAAGTGCTCAGGAGACTCAAACGAAGGGTCAGTCGGGTCCGACAAGACTTCGCAGCCGACTGGAAGTTGCACCACGACAACGCCCCGGCTCTCACCGCCTTTCTTGTGAACAGCTACCTGACCAAGGTCGGCATCCCAACGCTTCCGCAGCCGCCCTACAGCCCAGATGTGGCCCCGTTGGACTTTTTTTTTGATTCCTCGCCTGAAAAGGCCGATGAAAGGCAAGCATTTTGAGACGACAGAGGGGATCCAAGCAGCATGCACCGCGGCTCTCAAGGCTATTCCGGAGAATGCCTTCCGTGACGCCTTCAATGCTTGGAAATCGCGCTGGCAGCGCTGCATCGACGCAGAAGGAGCCTATTTTGAAAGTTTTTAAAGAATTGTAACGATTGGCTCAATAATTTTTTTTAAATCGACTCAGTCCTATCACTTTCCGGACAAACCCTGTATGTTAAATGGTGGCATGTATTCTAACTTGAATTAATTTCGATAATCAGTTTCCAATTTAAGTGAATTGTAAAGAAAATGAGTATGTCATAAAATTTCTAACAAAAGAGGGCTATAAGCAGAAAAAAATTCTCGAGAGATGATGCACCATCATATTACATAACAAAATTTTGGTCGAAACAGTTTCGGTGAGGGCGTAAATCCGTAGAAGACGATACCAGAAGTGGAAGACCCCAAAGAGCAATAAATGATGGAATTTTTCTAAGTTGAAGCAATGGTTCCGGGAAATGTTTGCATGAAGGTCTCTACCAATAGTATGGCATTGAATATATGGGAATACAGCAGAAAAAATATCTTGCAGGGCAATTTGAATACGAGTAAGGTGTCAGCAAGGTGAGTTCCACGATTGTTGATACCAACCTGAATAAAAATTGCTCGGTTTAGAAATTTCTGAAAGCCATTTGGATACTTTAACCAATGATTCTGACTTTTTGGAACAAATTGTGACTGGCGATCCAAGCACTTTTCCCCCCAAAAAGGCCCAAACGCAACCCTCTGCTTAAAAATTGATGGCAACAGTATTTTGGGGCATTAGGGGCATCCTTCTCATTAAGTATGTGCCAAAAGAGACAACAATAAACAAAAAATTTACGTGAAGCAACCAAAATCGCAATTCTAATCGAGTGTTTCTGTTCAGGCTACCAAAGTTAGACCAATTGTGCAGAAATGCAAATACGTTACGATAGACAAACCTCCCTATAGTCCAGGATTGGATCGGTTTGACTTTTATTATTAATAAAGAAACACCGTCTGGGAAGCCGTCTTGGCTCAGGTGCTGGTCTAAAAGCAGTCCTCGACAACTTTTTGTAGAGTCAAGAGGAAATGTTTTTCTATAAGTAGGAGAAATAAATGCAAATCAAGCTTTTTAATTTCTCAAATTTACTTGAAAACCATCAAAACCGCTCACCGTGTTTCATATACTCAAATTTCTACTTTATGATCCAGGAAAAAATGTCTGGGAACTGGCATCGATTCGAACGCATTAACTGCAATATTAACACGGTCCTACAATTTTCGTTCAAGGTTGTATACGGTTATACAGTGGTTTTCAGAAAGTACCTCCCCTATTTCTTTTTGAACGGGTCAAGTAAGCAAGCTAAAATTTAAGATGATGAAATTGACGCATGAATGTTATTTTAGCGTGATAATAACAGTAGAAAATTTCAAAATGGCGGCTGACCACCATCTTGTGACACTTTCGTTTTTTAATGTGATGAGGGGTCAAGTGAAGATCCTTATGGGTACTTTATGTCCCTATATTATAAAATCACTATCTTGCAGAATGGGAAACTGGGTAGCTATCAAAGTTGACCGTGGCTTATAACTTAGCAACGAATCTGCAGAATGTTATAGCATGCTATATCAATCTCCTTCGTTTAGAAGGATCTATTTGAATATTCAGCAAAATAAGAGACATTCATTTTCAACTCATTTGGAATATTTTGATTTTTCTTTAAATATAATATTCCATGCTTTATTAGACATTCGGATAGTTCTAACCTAGAGAAGTAGTTTCCTAACGGAGGACTTATTGTTGAGCTATAATAGTTCAAGAAAATGCCTGAAGGGAATTCTGCAATTACTCTTATTATACATAATAAGGATCAATTTTATATCCTACTTCGAAAACATATTAGCTGTATTCTTTTACACAACGTCCACACTTGTAGCATTGTATTACAGAATTTCCTACAATTCTATATAATGTTTTACTTATTTATATCTCTAGGTAATGATATAGAGCATAATAGTAAATTCGGTCACGTAAACATGATGACCAGTCATCAATTTTACTTTCCACGCCTACCTGCGGGGCAGTATTCCAATTTCGAATAATTTTAGTAAAGGTTAGTGAAATGTTGGAAGTTGGGGGTTGTAAGGGGTGGCAAACATTTACCCGCCATTTTTTAAACGCTACCACTAAGGTAGCTCAGGATATCCTAAATAGCTGAATTTTTCTAAACCCTTGCAAAAATTTGACAAAACCAAATTTTAAAGAGTGATTCTTTGGGTGACTGATAAAAGAAGTTCAGATCAACATAGGCCCGAAAATGCTTCAATATCAAACACACCATTATTACTTCTCTTAAAAACCTCGTTTTTCAAAAACAGCTGATCTCACCTCTGGAATTCTTGCATTTATATATTTCGGTATATGTTTTAACCCTTCACAATTCTTCTTTTCATTTCAGTAGGTACTTAGGTATCGAGGAGAGGCAACATTGCCAGATGAACGGTACACCTGTAGGGCAAAGAAAGAATGTCTATGGACTAATTCTATGGACCTGTTTGAGACATGTTCCGTTTAATTTCTCTGTTATACATACATGCCCATAACTAACCCTTTTAATTTGTGCTAAACATAATCCTTCATGAACCGATGGCGGCGTTGCGTGGGAAGTGCAAAGTCAACATATATGAGCCATTTTTTTAATTGGATGTGATTGTTTTCCTGTATAGTATTTAAAAGTTCCATTTTGGATTAAAAAACAATTATTTTTGACGTCATTTTATTGATTATACGTTATGGAGTTTTGATTCACAAAATATATCCAAAATATGCCATGACAAGTGTTTACACGGGCTGCATGTATAACTACAATATGTATATACATCAATAAATATAATACTTATTATTACAACTGTACACACTTGCGTTGTGTTACGAAGTTAAGGGCATTTTGTAAGTACAGCAAATTACTCGCAACTTATTCAACTGAAGTGTTTGTACCATAGGTCCCTGAGCAAACTTACGTGATTGGTCTGCGCGACTTTTAAATGACTTTTCTATAACCGAATTACGAATAGAAGTTTGATACAAACAATATTTGCCTGCAAGGCTACTGAGATGCTGAAGCCGAGAAGCTGCACCCTTATTAATAAAGGCACAACTAAAACCTACCCATGCGAATTGGGATACTGCTAATATTGAAATAAGACAGCACAATGTCAACATCTGTTGTCGGACGAATGATGGCTATATGACTACTGCTATGTAAATTGAGCACTCCTTCCCCGTAAGCTTGAAGGATGAAGCTGATACTGGATACCTAGAAAGGCCAATGTAGACTACAATTAGGAAGGTTTCGTCCATTTTCTGTAAGTAACATATCTACGATTTTGGCAAATTAAGCTTCAAAGGGTGTGAACAACCCAACTTGGAGGCCGTACATTTCGAAAACTACCAGGTCATGACTAAGCAGTACTGCTGATCTACAGCTTGCTATTTTTTTTTAAATTAGCCGAAAGCCATTTGTCGTAAGGATTCTTCAAACATTTTTTTAAAATGCCTGGATATTATTCCTTAAAATGGATACAAATTATTAGTGAAAGCTAGTTATTAGATATTATTTGTTTTCGAAAACCTATGCAAACATAATAAACATTCATTTAATATGAACTAAGAAAATTAGGGTCATAATTAGTAGTACCTAATCATTTCTCCATCGTCGAAAGTATATTTATAAATTACTATAATCAGAGGCGTATTTACCCTATCCTAGAGCCATGGCCCGAGGCTGCAGATCGCGAGGGGCAGCTCGATATGTCTCTATCAACAGTTTTTGATTTTTGTCAATTCTTTTATGAGCAACAAACCTTAGGAGGTAATTGACAATTGTGGAGAATCCCAAATGGATGATAACAATCGAAATGAAAATTTTTCAGGAGGAACGAAAACGCTTGCATTGAATAATATGGATAGTCACGTATTGACTAAGTATTCAATTTTTATATTATTTTATAATGGACTACGAAAATTTGTAATTTTGAGAAAAACGCTTTTTATGTTAAACGATTTATATATAAATCAACATTATTTCATTCTCCTAATAACGGAAAAGGCTGCCGTGATTTGGATGAAATTTGAAAAGCAGCATGCTGTGGGGTCATATACTCGTAGTTGGCAATACTTCTAGCGGGGCATATTTTTGGCCGAGAGATTTTTCAGTTACCACCTAGACTTAATGATCAAAGGTATTTGCAATTTCTTGAAGAACAATGACCCACTGTGCTGGAAGATCTTCCATTACAAACACGCATGAATATGTGGTTTATGCACGACGGCGCTCCACTTCATTTTAGTATATTAGTTAGAGAGCACCTAAATAGAGTTTATCCAGACTAGTGGATAGGCCGATCAGGACCTGTATGGTGGCCGGCTAGATCACCAGATTTAAATCCGACGCGTTTACAATACGCCAGTGGAAACTGTAGATGATCTTCGATCAAGAATTTTCCACCATAGCCAGGAAATTAAAAAAAAAAACATCCAAATGCTTTGGAGAGTGCAGCAAGGATTAGTTCGTCGAGCTCGGAAGTGTGTTAGGCAAGGTGGTGCTCATTTTGAACAATTTTTGTAGTTATTATTTCCGTTTATCAGTTTTGTTGCCATGATCATTTGTTATAGTTAAAAACTATAGCAACGCTATTCAGATATTATCCAAAGCAATTTGATTATTATGTTATAAAAATGTTATCATCAGGCTGCAAATAATGCATTGGAAACTTTTAAAAACAAATATCTCGAAAACTATTAGCTTAGACACTTCTAACAAGTAGACCTTTTTTATTGTGGAAATACGAGATAATAAGATTGTTTAGTCAGTTGTTGTATACAGGGTAGCACCAGAAAGTTATGATAAGTTATTTACTAAAATAGTGCTGTGAGTGGCGCCCTCTAGAAGATTGGAGATAAAAAATAACTGATTCTTATTTGTCATACTAGAAAACGTCCGTATACCGAGTTTTATGCCAAATCTAAAATACTTCACAAGCCAGAAGAAAATAGAAAATAAAATTGTAACTTTGACACCCTGTATCTCGCAAACTATCAACTTTTGGACTGAAGTATGTTGGGGTCAATTCACATATTTTGGTCTGAAGTATCTCCAGTTTCGAGATTTCCCAACCTTCCGCAGACACCCAGTATATACATTTGTATCTAATGTACAAATTTATATATAGTAGATATATTATTTCATCGTGTCATAAAACATTATTAGCGAGGAAGAAGAATTTTCATTTTATTAGAAAGTTAAATATAGGGGGAATATATGAGGAGGTGTAATACAGTTCGAACACACTGTCTATATAGTGATATTATAAACTGTTGGCAAATTTTACGTATTACAAGTAATATAGGTCACAGGAAATGTTACGGTGAGTAGAGCAATACCTAGCAACAAAAATTAAACAGTTAAAATTTAACAATAAATGAATTATGATATTTCACTATGGAAGTAAAGGCCCACAAGATTACAAATGTATTACCGTACAACCTTTCTGTAATAACAAAAAACAATATCAATAATAGATCACGTGCAAGCGAATTTGGTGCTATACAATTTAGTAGAAAAATAAGTTAAACGTCGGATAATATTTAGGGGCGTAGCAACCGCATTGTCAATAATACCGAGCGTCCCAGCTTACAGAGATCCAGACGTGTGAAAGCAAAAAAATGTCTTCTCAATCTCACGTAAGCTTTTAGGCCCTCAAGCTATAATTTCTCATGCGCTAAATCCTTGGCTTGTATGGCTATGGGATAACAGCATGCAAATTGCTTTAGACTTGGAACTGCCTTCAAAGGGCTGAAAAGCTCGAAACACTAAAATCGCCTTCAGCTAGATGACTTAAGAAAAAATCTATAGACCAAAAATATGCCCCGCTAGAAGCATTGCCAACTACGAGTATATGACCCCACAGCATGCCGCTACTCAAATTTCATCCAAATCACGGCAGCCTTTTCCGTTATTAGGAGAATGAAATAATGTTGATTTACATGTACATCGTTTAACATAAAAAGCGTTTTTCTGAAAATTACAAATTTTCGTAGTCCAGTATAAAATAATATAAAAATTGAATACTTAGTCAATACGTGACTATCCATATTATTCAATGCAAGCGTTTTCGTTCCTTTTCTGAAAAATCTTCATTTCGAATTTTATCATCCATTTGGGATTCTCCACAATTGTCAATTGCCTCCTAAGATTTGTTGCTCATAAAAGAATTGACATAAATCAAAAACTGTTGATAGAGGCATATCGAGCTGCCCCTCGCAGTCTGCAGCCTCGGGCCATGGCTCTAGGATAGGGTAAATACGCCTCTGATTATAGTAATTTATAAATATACTTTCGACGATGGAGAAATGATTAGGTACTCCAATTACGACCCTAATTTTCGAAGAATCCTCACGACAAATGGCTTTCGGCTAATTGAAAAAAAAAATAGCAAGCTGTAGATCAGCAGTACTGCTTAGTCATGACCTAGAAGTTTTCGAAATGTACGGCCTCCAAGTTGGGTTGTTCACACCCTTTGAAGCTTAATTTGCCAAAATCGTAGATATGTTACTTACAGGAAATGGACAAAACCTTCCTAATTGTAGTCTACATTGGCCTTTCTCTCCATCATTCGCCTGACAACAGATGGCACATTGTCCTGTCTTATTTCAATATTAGCAGTATCCCAATTCGCATGGGTAGGTTTCAGTTGTGCCTTTATTAATAAGGGTGCAGCTTCTCGGCTTCAGCATCTCAGAAGCCTTGCAAGCAAATATTGTTTGTATCAGACTTCTATTCGTAATTCGGTTATAGAAAAGTCACTTAAAAGTCGCGCCGACCAATAGGTCTGTCACGTAAGTTTGCTCAGGGACCTATGGTACAAACACTGCAGTTGTATAAGTTGCGAGTAATTTGCTGTACTTACAAAACGTCCTTCGTAACACAACGCAAGTGTGTACAGTTGTAATCATAAGTATTTTACTTATTGATGTAAATACATATTGTAGTTATACATGCAGCTGGTGTAAACACTTGTCACGGCATATTTTGGATATATTTTGTGAATCAAAGCTCCATAACGTATAATCAATAAAATGACGTCAAAAATAATTGTTTTTTAATCCAAAATGCAACTTTTAAATAATATAAAGGAAAACAATCACATCCAATTAAAAAAATGGCTCATATATGTTGACTTTGCACTTCCCACGCAACGCCGCCATCGGTTCATGAAGGATTATGTTTAGCACAAGTTAAAAGGGTTAGTTATGGGCATGTATGTATAACAGGGCAATTAAACGGACCATGTCAGTCAAACACGTGCATAGAGTTAGACCATAGACATTCTTTCTTTGCCCTACCGGTGTACCGTTCATCTGGCAATGTTGCCTCTCCTTGATACCTAAGAACTTAAATGAAAAGAAGAATTGTGAAGGGTTAAAACATATACAGTAATACATCGTGTGTTTGATATCGGACCATTTTCGGGCCTATGTTGATCTGAACTTCTTTTATCAGTCACCCAAAAAATCACTCTTTAAAGTTTGGTTTTGTCAAATTTCTGCAACGGTTAGGAAAAATTCATGTATTTAGGATATCCTTCGTCATGAAGGATTATGATCAGCACAAGTGGGGTTCCTTGCAAAAAATTTAATTCCGAAAATGTAATTAAATAGATCAAATCAGTCAAAAAGTCCCAAGCAATAAGTTTGTTTAGAGACATTTTTTCCTGTCCTACCGTTAGTACCATCCATCTGGCGACGTCGCCTTTCTGTATACCTGACCGCACGACGTATCAGACGCGGCACGTCGCCACATTAACAGTACAAGATCAGCAGCAATGACGCGTACCGAAAACATTTCTCTATCATTCTACGATTCAAAGGCTCATACAAGGGTAAATGTTTGCCACCCCTCACAACCCCCAACTTCCAACATTTCACTAACCTTTACAAAAATTATTCGAGATTGCAATACTGCCTCGCAGGTAGGCGTGGAAAGTAAAATTGATGACTGGTCATCATGTTTACGTGACCGAATTTACTATTATGCTCTATATCTATATCATTACCTAGAGATATCAATAAGCAAAACATTATCTAGAATTGTAGGAAATTCTGTAATACAGGTAAAATGCTACAAGTGTGGACGTTGTGTAAAAGAATACAGCTAAAAGTGTAAGATTTCTCCCGTTACTAACGCCGCACGGATAGTTACAAGTTGTGTGTTATACAGGGTGTCTGCGAAACTGGAGACACTACAGACCAATATATATGAATTGACCTAAACATACCTTAGTCCAAAAGATGATGGTTTGCGAGATACAGGGTGTCAAAGTTACAATTTTATTTTCTATTTTTCCTTATTGCTTGAGAAGTATTTCAGATTTTGGCATAAATCTCGGTATACGGAGGTTATCTAGAATGAGAAACAAGAATCCGTTATATTTTATGGCCAAACTTCTAGAGGGCGCCACCTATAGCACTATTTCGGTAAATAACTTATCATAACTTTTTGTGCTACCCTATATACAACAACTGACCGAAAAATCTTATTTTCTCGTGTTTCCACAACAAAGGTTTACTTGTTGGAAGTGTCTAAAGCTAATAGTTTTTGAGATATTTGATTTTAATAGTTCCAATCCATTATTTATACCTCGATTTTTATAAAATAATAATCATTATTATGTGAAAGTGGTATAGCAGTAGGAGAGCTGAACAAAATTCTGTTAATCAGGTATCTTGGATAACCATTATTGATGAAGAGTATTAAGAGTTTGTGTGAGCTAGAAAGATGGAGAGTACTGTCAGAAATGCTAATAACCCTCATTTTCATTTGTATCACCAAGTTTATCTTTATCTTAAGTTTGTGGTAGAACCTGAAGTTCAGGATCTGCCAGATCAAACCTCAAGATCCCTAAAAGGTAGAATAGCCGCACATAAAAGTAATGCCCGACTGCATCCAGAAAGATGTGCTCTGGCTTCACATGTCAACACCACAGGGCATCAAATGGGATACAATGATATCAAGGTGCCAGACAGAGAAAACCATCTATCAAAATGTTTGTTCCTTTAAATGTCACATATCTTGATGACAGACAGTTGCATGAACAAAAAAGCTGATGACAATCAACTTAGCGTCATTTATGCATACTTGTTGAACTGCGAAAAATTGGAAAAGCACTATATCTCTCCCAACATCGACCTTTCTCAATAATGGCTCTAATTACATAAATTTTCACTATCTATAATCAAATTAAAATAAGTTTGCTCAGAATAATTTTTCCTCAAGTTTGAAAGTTCCTTCGTATTACCCAGCTTGGTGGTAGGATAGCATCCAAATCACACTCCTTCCACAATAACATTTGTTAATTTTGAAAATATCTCTGAACTTCATCGTTTAACAAAACACACTCCATCGTACTAGTTTACGGAGCTTCCTACATAGTAGGCAACACACATCACAAGTACGTAACGTTTGATAGCGGTTCAATAACTTCAAGGTCACACTTCATATGCCACTGGAGAGTGTTAGTCGGCCGGCACATGTTAGATAATGTGGAGGTTATTAAAAAATATAGCTATGGTGTTGCCAATAAAATAGTTCCGTCCTAATCGGATCTCATCGGTCCAGTTTTTTGTTCGTCGACTGTGTTCCCTTTCACTGTCGTTTAAGAACAATTTCAGCAACAATGTCGCCGACTTAGTAAGAAATTATTTTCCTCAAAATTGTTTACAGTAGCAATTTTTTCAAAAATTGTTTTGTAGCTCGGGACGATGATGGCATAGACGATCGAAAGCTCGAGTTCAAGTTGTAAGAGTGGACTTATGCAAAACTTTGCCTTCAACCCAAAGAAATTTAAAGTGAATTTGAGCAGAAAATAGGTAAACTGAGCGATACGTATTTCTGCTTGTTGGCTTCATCAGACCCGAAATGGATGCACATATGCAACTACAAAAGTAGATACACAAGCCCATACATACGGATACGGGTGTAACCTGAGGAAACGAAGATGGAGAGGGAAAAAATTAGACACAAAGTCACCAGCAAGAGCCAACCTACACATTGTTGTGTAAAACAGCTGGAAGACCTCGGATTTTCAAAGCGACATCTAATCACAACCACGCGGCCGGTTATAGCCACTTGCTGTGATACTTCAAGCTCAAAGGATCACATATGCAACTACAAAGGTAGATACACATGCCCATACATCCGGAATCGGGCGTATCCTGAGGAAACGAAGATGGAGAGGGAAAGAAAATAACACATAAAGTCATAATCAAGAGCCAACGTACACATTGTAGAATAAAATGGCTAGAAGACCTCGAATTTTCAAGGCAACATCTAACCACAACTACGCGGCCGGTTATAGCCACTATATACCCTGTATTTTGAGAATGAAGAATTTGCGGAACTATGCTACTTTTTGTCTTGAAATTACTCAAAGAGTCGTCTGTTAAATTTATGGTACTTACTTAATTAACACCCTGTATGAGCTTATATCGTATTTAGGGAGTTTCTACGTGTTTTCATATTTGTCTGAGCACGATCTTTTCGAACCTTTTTATGCCATTCAATCTAATTTTTCGCAAGTTTCGTTCAATAGGCTTCTCTGCCTGAATGGGGCGCGATTCACTGTGCGCCACCTTGGTTTTTCTGCACTTTCAGCATTCCTTTTGTTTTTCGTTAAATATAGCTTTTCTTAAGGCGTTTGGAAAAAGACATTCATTAAGGTGTGAGGTTTATAATAATACAGACTGAAGATGCTGAAGAATATCTTGAATATAAATATTAAAAATTTCTTTGCGGTGATTCCAGAGAGACACCAAGCACAAGGTTGGATTACCTGCTATATAAAAAAACGCCAACAAATAGCGTCAGGTAGATTGACTTTGTACTTCCTACATAATTATAGACAAATGAACTTTGGTATCTGAGTCAACGCTGGCACGCTTTGGTAACTTTATTGTTTTCTGGCTGTGAAAATCATTGTACCCTAGTAAAAGACCGTTGAATAAATAACAGTAAAAAATTATGGGCTTTGAATATGCATAATGCCTGAATCAAATTTCTTGCGTTCTGGTAGGCTTTCTATTGGTCGGTTATGTATATATAATTTTTTTTTAAATAACCGAGGACAGCTTTCGCACGCCCTGGTATTATTGCTTGAGGAAAAGATACTAAAAACAGATGAGATACTGCATTCCACAAAATATATTCATATTCGCAAAAGAATGGTGAACGTCTATTCGTTATGTCACATCTGAATAACTACAGCACTACTGTTGACACACTATGTGATTATTTCTATTCAATAAAATATATTGCCCTGTGAGTCACAATTGTTACATCGCCGAGGCATCGTTGACGTTTTATAAGTTGATTAGACAAATTCGTCGCGTGGTCCGCGGGAGCAAGCAGGGGCTAGCGGCTACTGCACTTTAAAAACAAAATATTCAATATATGTGACAAATATGACTAATAGCCGTGTAGAATTACTGGGCTACAAGTTTGTAAATATGCTGCCGCCAAAAAGTTTTAGTACACCTCTTTCACCTCCTTACAACATCCATCCCCAATTTTTTGCTCCTAAAAATTTGTTCAGTAATGATCAGAGTTCTCTGAGACGTAAAAGAATGTAGTTTGAACGATGTTTATTCTTTCGGTTTTGGCACCTTTCTCGCCACAGCTAGAGTGATTTTCAAAAGCTACAAATCTGTTCATCCTTGACATAGAAGTAACCTTATGTAAACATTTTATTAAATTCGAGCGGTACTTTACACTTTATTATAGACAAGCCAAGGATTTGCGGACCGACCGACAAGCAAACCGACGGAAATACATATCACATAACATCGAAAAAACATAAAGTAAAAAATCTCATCTACAAACATTGTTTATTAATGGTTATTAAGAAATGACCAATTTAAATGGACCGTTCAGCTAGCGGTGCAGGGCTTTATGTGGAATAGCAGTAGTTCTGGAATAACTTTGACAAGTTGCAACGTCAACCAACATTCTATCAAATTTGACAGTTGAACGAAAACTGCAATCACTGATTGTGGCTCAAACCTGCTCATATTTTCTCCAGTATGTTCAGTCTCCTAAGGAAATAGAGGTCTGCTTATTTGGAGAAATATTTTCAGGCCTTCCACTTCTACATGACTGGGCATTTTGTCCCCCTCCGCACACTATACAGTCTGCACCCAGCGTCTACTGCTACGCACATACCCTGGTAATGTGGTAATACAGTCTGCAATTGTTTGTTTGTTTATTTTGACCACTAATACAAATGTGTACATTATCACGTACGTAACATAAATAGGTACAAATGATGAATATATTGTAAAATGTAAATAACAAACAAATAACACCCAAGTACAAATTTCGGAAAGTATGTTAAGCGTCCTTCAATATAAACACAGATTATCTACAGGGAGCAAATTAGTATAAACATAATTAGAGAAGGAAAAAGGAAAGATTAGTTATTATTAAAGAGTGCCATCCCAAAACTCTCTACAGCTATGATGCTTTAGTCAGAATCAGTTCACTAATTTTTGTCTTGCATAAATTAGTCGTTGTCACTGCTTTATGCTAATAGGCAATGGTTGAGGATGGATAGTAATAGATTGCGATGCCTCGTGTCGAGATTATGGCGCATAGTATAGACCTCAAATTCATCTCAGTGCAATCTTACGTACAGAAAACAGTGTAATATGTAAATACGTGCTAGACTCAATACACGCTCTCTGATAAATGTGATCAAATGTGAGTAGGCCAGGGCGTAATTTACGAGGCAGCTCCTTAGCTGACAGGCATAAATGACACAGTTTAACTTTTCCAGAAATTGTCAATCTGTATGTTCCTTAGAGAACAGTCTTAAATATGTACAGCCTAAGTATTTCATCTCATCAGCTAGGTTAACATTTGCTGTAAAACCTGAGTTCAAAGATTAAGAGTTACATAGGTGGTGTTGTATTGACATTGTCTTCGAGTTATTTAAAATTGTTTGGTTTTGGAAACCCCAAGCATTCACCTCATCTACAGGGTGGTCGAACGAAAAGATTGCAGCCCATTTGTGACTCTCCCGGTATGTTTTGGTAAAAACGCTCGGACACGTCAATTTTGATTTTATTTTTAGATCCTCCATGAAGTGTTTAGTAACTTTTGTATAATAAAGTTTATACCTGTCTTCAATCGTTGTTAAGAATTCATAATAAAATTTTAGAAATTGTGAGAGATTATATCGTGACAATAATAATCAGTAAAGTTCCCATAGTAACAACACTTTACTTTAAAATTAAAAACAAGTCTCCGAGTACTAGAAACACAAAAAACGACTTACAGCTACACGCACATTAAAGTTAAAGTAAAAATTAATTTGCTATAAAGAGGTAGATCAATGTGGTAATGAGTGCTGAAAGTGGTGTCCATTTACCTCCATGCAATATTAAAGATTTTGTTCGAATCTATTGATCACATTTTCAAGCATGTCCTGAGTTCTTGGATGACGTCGATCTTGAATGGAATCTGGCTTTGTACTAAAGTTTACTTTTCAAATGCCCCCAAAGAAAGTAATCTTAAGTCCGGAGATCTCGGCGGTCACTCGATGGGGCCTCATCTGCCGATCTACTTATTCGGGAAATGGGTATCCAGAAACTGTCGTACTGGAGCCACATAGTGCGGCGGTGCACCATCCTGTTTTGAATGAATGTAATTTTCATTATAATTTCTATTATTTTCTAGTATTTCGGTAATTCGTGGCTCTATTGAGATCCTACAATATGATTTCCGAAAATGCCAGCCCACACATTTATTTTTTCAGAATTCACATTTCTTTTTTTGCGGAGTTTGCCCATTATTTTTCTATTTGTTAAATACCTTTTTCTGCACGATTCTTTTCTCCTCGTAGATAGATTCTTTGGGCTTGAAGTACCTAGAAGTGGCTATAACCGGCTGCGTGATTGTGGTTCCATGTCGCCTTGAAAATTCGAGGTCTTCTAGCCATTTTATACTACAATGTGTAGGTTGGCTGTTGTTGGGAAGTTGGTGTATCATTTTTCCCTTCTGCATCTTCAGTTCCTTAGGTTACACCCCTATCCGGATGTATGGGCAAGTGTATCTACTTTTGTGGTTGCATATGTGCATTCATTTCGGACCTGATGAAGCCAACAAGCAGAAATACGTATCGCTCGGGTTGCCTATCCTACTCTCTGCTCGAATGTATATATAAGTGGAATATATGTTTAATTGAAGTACCTCCTCACGTTTTAGCCAATTTGATGGTAGAAGTACAAAAAATGTTCACTGTTTTTGGCGCTATTATTCAAATAACGACTTAAACGGGCGACGTTTATGATCGAGACTGGCTTTCATTGCAACACATCGTATAGTAGCAGCAAAAATAAATAGTATATACAATGTCAAACCATTGGTAGGTGTCAATTGTCAGATTTCCCAACTACTTGCGTACAATAAATAATATATCGTCAATGAGGGCAATCAGCTAAAATGAAGCGCTACAGTTTGAAACCAGCTTTGCTTTGCTGTCAGATTTGATACTTTGTTGATCAAATGTAACTAATGTGAAAGCCATTCCACATCTACTGTTACTCAGCATAAAAGCGCTGCACTGCTTACGTTAGCCAAATGAACACGTTGAAAAGGGCCTGCGAGGCAGTCGAAATGCCGGTAAATATTTCAGTTGCATTTAGTCAAACACGGATAATGATCAGTGTTCATTTTGAAAATTAAACTGGAAGCGACTCTTCTGTAAGTGTTAAGCAATGCAGTTTACGATAATATACCACTACTAATAACATTTCTACAAATCAACACCTTAACCAAATCTTTTCAAATGATTTGAACGGAGTCTGAGCTCATAGATGGGGATACAGTCTTTATTCGCCATTAAGTATCACTATGTATGAGCAAACATTGTACTTTTTTAGCTACAGTCTAGAGTAAGTTGTTTCCAAGAAGTATGAAAGAAGAGTATCGAATTGCCTCGGAACCAATCACACAAACACACAACACTAAATATGTTATATCAGTATTTATATTAAACGCAACAGATTGGTGCAAGATAACATAGGTACATCGCATCGTTCCCGTTTATGGACGACTACTTCTTGTTAGATGGGAGATATCCCGGAAGAGAAACTGGATCAAACTGCTTAAAGTAATAAATAAGAAATTATCATTCCTTTTATTCACTGGTAGGTACCATGTACTACGTGTACTATGTTTTAAGTGAGTTGTGATAAGTTTTAATGGTGATGAGCGTGCATGTGTCTGTCAACATTTGAGAGATTGCATCTATTAAGCAAAGTTAATATACTAAGCATTTCATAAGTGAATTAGAAAGTTGCAAATTTCGCTTTGAGGAAGGCCTCACTTACTTCCATTTTATAATGGTACACGTTCAATTGAATAAGGTGGGCACTTAAAGTTGACTTTATTATTGACTTCTTACAGATGGAAGCTGATTTATCAAGAATGACCTTCTAAGATCAAAACTCGGGATTGTCTGCGGCAGCAAATTGATCTTTGAACTCCTTAATGATCCTTTCTGCGTCATCTAGTTGCTGCATTAATGCTGCCATCTATAACAATATAAAAAATGTCGTCAAGTACGTTGACTCTGCACCTCACGCAGCGCTGTCACCACTTCATAAAGATCTTGGTGTCATATTTGACAGCAAGTTATCAGTCAATGAACATGGAAGAGACCGTATTTTGCTTTCATAAGATCAGAGCTGGAATATACCTCCATTATATGGAACCGAATATACAAAGTTCATGAACAGGCTCTAGAAAATGTACAAAGTCAGTTTGTCAAATATTTGGTGTTTAAAATATTTGGAAACTATCCATGTCAGCATTTTAATCACGCTGAGCTACTTAACATCTTTGACATGACAGATTTACCGGTCGAGCCGGAACAAGAACTTCCTTTTATTCTTACATGAGACTCCGCATTTCCAACTCAACTATTCAGAAGAGTTATCTGAAATCACCTTCATTATACCAAGAACTCTAGTAGCCGCAATACATTCTACTAGCAGAGACGTAATAGCAACTTATCATTGGAGTCACTCATAAGGAAGATATGCTCCCTCTTAATAACATTGCTAGTACACAGATATCCATATAGAATAGAGACACCACACAATATTATGAATGTACTTCAGAATGAGATGCTAGAGAACTAGAGCAGTAAATATCTTCTTGGCACCATACTAACTATGACTTTAGTATGATCTTTATAATCTGTAAATACTGACTAATAGTAGTATATATGTACTTGTAAACTTAATCTGCATATACATTTTTTGAATAATGTGCTTTTAAAGTTATAGGAAATTGACTAACTCCATTCCATAGTAAGTAATATATGTATAAAATAGATTGTTTTGCCTCTGAAACATGGCTACATAGAAGATACTGATGTTATATACTAACAAATAATATTTCCAAAAAGAGCACACCTACGACTAGGTGGTTATGCGTCTTACTTTGAATTGAAATTTTGACTAAATAGGTAGTATGTATACCATAATAGCAAAGTGGAATGAATATATGATATACAATTTAGATGAAGGGATAAAATAATAAACTAACTAACTATTTTATTTTACTAATGTTCTCGATTAAACTATATATAATATACTCGTAATTCCTTATTCTTTTAAAGTATTTAGAATAATGTGATATGTATATTTTGATGCCATTAAAGTAGCTTTCTTGACATACAGTTTCACTTACATTTTGATATATGAGTAGCTGTTTTTGATTTCTTCTCATTTCATAAGCATGACTCATCTTTTCGAAATTTGTTTTCCCAAGAATTATCTTCAGCAATGCATGGATGTACAAAGCTATCACATTCAATATAGCATCTGCTTTGAATAGCTCACTTACACTTTTCGGTTTACTGGCTATATAATTTTGACATTTTTCAAACAGAAATGTCATTGAGGTAATACGTACATGTTGGTGAGAAGGCAGTAAACTTAGTTTTGTAGATACCTTAGCTGAAATTATTGATATCAATCTAATCTTCTATATCAATAAAACCATTTTTTCGCCGTATCATGACCTTCTATCCATGCATTGCCAGAGCAGTTCAATACAGTATCGTTTGCTTAGGGAGTTATTATACAGTTCATCTATAAGAATTAGAAATAAAGCAGAACCAAGAACAATACCTTGGACTGTCATTGTGTCACTTATTTCCTGCCCTATGCCGACTTGTTAATGCCTATCTGAGAGATAAGCACTTAGTCATTGGCCTAATACCCTAGCATTCGGGCTTTCACAGTGTTTCACGGTATCAAATCAATAAAAATCGCCTGATTAATGTTTGTTATTTAGATTTTTGGCATCCAAAATATTCGACATATATTCTTGGCGTCTATCTTACAAAATGATATCATTTGGATAGACGACAAAAATCAAAGGTAGGTATGATATTAGCTAGGGAGGTTCCATAGATAATATCATGACATGATGAAGTATTCTGGCTTGTATCATAAAATATCGCATACCTCTTTTCTCTTTGTCTCGTAAGCTTTAGCAATATGTTGTAAAGCAATCTCAGTATCGACCGATACCCTTTTAGCTCTGTTTGCCTCAGTCATTTCCTGTATCATTTCTTTCTTCAGCTCAATTTTTTCATTTTCTAGCTCAGAAACAGATTCTTTTAGCTTATCCTTTTCGTCTTCCAGTTGACAGCACCTTTTAAAATTCAAAATGGATATCAAAATGATCCCGCGTTAAATCAACATGAAACATTGCCATAAAGAGATGCCCCAATTTAGTATTATGATATTCTTAAAGTAAATCTGTAAATTATACCAATTTTGTTTCAAAAATACCTAGCTGCTGATTGTTTCAGCTCTTCAGTAGCATCATCCAGCTGTCTTTTGTAAGTGTCAACATCATCGTTTAACTGTTCTATTTCAAACTTCAACTTTGAGTTTTCGATTTCCAAATCTGTTACCAGCTGCTTCATTTCTACAAGTTTTTCTCGCATAATGTATTTTTCGTCATCTTGTCGCAATTTTCTTATGGTTTCATCCGCTTCATGAGACTTTTGTTGTTCTTCTTCCAATCTACAAACATAATGCATAATAGCAGTATTTTTGATATCACTATTATACAATTCGGGCATCGCAGGGAGTAGAGATGGCGACACTGGCCGGTGGCGAAACTCCATGTGTTGTTATGAAAGCACATACCGAGAAGCACCGCACTAATGTTGCAATTTGCATTAACATACGAGGTCTGTAAATTAACTAATGAGACTGGCAATGTAGTGTTCGATCTGGCAACAATGGCGGCGCCGGGGTTGCAGGGAAGACAGGGGAACATGTGGTCTGCCTTCAGTACCCGGTTTCCTATTGTGTTCTAGTGTTTAGTCTGTGTCTAGTCTCATTACTTAATTTACAGACCTTGTACACTCCCTATGATGCGAGTTATACAGTATTGTATTATGTATACAGGTTCATTTGAAAACTTCCCACCACGGATTTATCAAAAACCACTGATTGAAAGAAAAAACGCCAAGACACGTCAAAAGATTTGTCAAGGGGAACAACTTTTTAGCCAAAAGATATTTCACCCCTTTCCACCCTCGGCCTAACAGTAATAGTTTGATTTTTCAAAATCAGTTGACTCGTCTTCGAGAAAATTAGGAAAATCTTTATTTATCTTTTCAGATATAAAACAATAACACACGAAGATATCACTTTTTATTTCAACAAGTATTCAAAATGTTGCCCGTTAGGGTTTGCCAAATCTACAATTCGTTTATAATTTGAAACGGATTAGACGTGGCAACAACGAAATAACAACAATCTGATTTTTTTCCGCATTCTCTTCATCAAAACAGATATCCTGACGGAACTGTATTTATTGTTATACCTGTTTAGTTATTTGTTGCTAATTTAATTTGCTGTCAGTTACCTTTGGGATAGTGAAAATTATTTTTTGATTCAGATTTTACTTCCAAAATGGTTTACACACTAGCCGAAAGAGTGGAAATGTGCGCAAACTCAATGTACTCGGCAAACTGCCGTCATGTTTAACGCCAGACATCCGGGAAGATAAGTTCGCATAGGTATGTTTTGGACCTTGTTAGTAAATTTACTCAAACTGGATCTGTTGCAAATAAAAAACGTGATCATCAGATAGTTTTGGATGAAGCCGCTCAAGTTGAAGTTTCGGGGCATTTTGGAATAAAGTCTAATACTTAATCACGCAAAAGTATTGCTGCGACTGGGCTCTGTACACACAGCTACTAAAATGCATGAATCTCATCAATATGAAAATATTGCAAGAGTTAACCGAAGACGAGTTCGATAGGGGAGTTCAATTTTGTGAACAAATGATAGATAGATAGATAAATAGATAGATGCTTTATTGTCTTCGGATCATAGAAATGATATAATACTCGTCAGGCATATCTCTATGAGTACATTATTATCTACAAAAATTAAAAATATAGTTAAGTATAAATACATAAATTTGTCGGTTAAAAATGGAAAGAAACATAGTTTAGTCGAGAAAACAACAGATACAATAATAATAAACAGAACAAGATGTAAAAGAAGTAAGTACAATAAAAATAGAAAAAAAAATAATAGGTACGCATATACGAGTAAATATATACACACATATATACACATACATAATACATATATATATATACACATACATATATATATATATAGACACACATACATATACATATATACACACATATATATACCAGCCACACTTTCCTATTTAATTTTTTGGTGCATCACTCTTACCCTGAAAGAAACTCGGTTACTGAGTAGTAGCATCTTTCTATTAACAGACTCCTCAGCTCTTTCTTGAACATATTTGAGCATCTAATATCTTTTAGTATTGATGGCAACTTATTGAATACCTTGGTGCAGGCGTAGGCTGGTGATTTTTCGAACATTGACAGTGTATGCGAAGGTATACTCAAGTCCTGTTTCGCTCTAGTGTTGTAGTTTGTGTTTAAGTCCTTGTTCTGCAGAAACTGGCCCCTGTGATTGAAGGTGTAGAGTCCGCATTTATAAATATATATACTCGGAAGCGTTAGCAAGTTATTATGCTGAAATATTGCTCTACATGATTCTCTCCTTTTAATGTTAAATATCAGCCGTACAATACGTTTCTGCAAAATAAACACTCTGGACGCGGTGCATGCTTGTCCCCAGACGATGGTGTGATTTGACAGATGCGAATACACCATTGCGTAGTACACATCTATCAGCGTGGATTTGGGGACATTTGGCTTTAATTTCAATATCGCATAGTAGGACCTATTGATTTTCCTGCATACACTGTCAACTTGTTGCTTCCAATTTAATCCTGCATCCAACTCAATACCCAGGAAGGTCGTAGAGTCTGAGATAGTTCTGTTAATGAGACGTGGAGTACTAGAGTTAAAGTGAACAACTACCGTCTTGTCAGCATTCAAGATCAGACGATTTGTTTGGCACCACACTTCCATCTCAGATTTTATGATTCCAATGTTAAGGTACAGATCTTCAGGCGACTCTGCAGTTACTACAGCCGATGTGTCATCAGCATAGTTCACTACTGCACCTGAGAGCTTCAGATCGTTTATAAATAAGATGAAAAGAAGTGGTGACAATACAGATCCCTGAGCTGCACCTATATTTATTTTATAGGTGGTTGACTGCGCATCGTTTCACTCTAAGTTCTTTGTCTGTCAGGAAAGACACTAGCCAGTCCAGCAAGAAGTCTCTAATACCTATATTGAAAAGTTTCTCCCTTAGCAAATCTACATTAATGATATCAAACGCTTTGGACAAGTCCAAAAATACTCCAGCAACCAGATGATCCAAGTCTATTGCTCGGTATATGTGGTTCATAAACTCAAAAGAGGCTGTCTCAATCGAGCGTGATTTCCTGAACCCATGTTGGTTATTGGAGATGATGTATTTTTCAGTATAGCTGGCTATGCGCGCGTGCAGTACTTTCTCAAATATCTTTGAAAAAACTGACAGAAGAGATATTGGACGATAGTTTTCGACTTGAGAGGGATCTCCCTTTTTCAATATAGGTACCACAATGGCCAATTTAAGATTTTTAGGAAATTTATCTTGATGCACCGACATGTTTATGAGCACAACTAGTGGACCTGAAATTTGATGACACACACTTTTAACTATTCTTGTTGACACACCATTACTTCCACACGACTTATTATTTCGAAGGTTGTTTATCACATTGGTCACTTCATCTTCGGTAGTTTCGCTGTAGAACATTGACTGAGCTAGTGAGGTTGTTGACAGACTTGTAGTTGTGGGCTGTCCTCCAAAGTATACATGGAGCTTCTTCTCTGCTATTGTAGAAAAAATACCTACCAAATGCGTCGGATGTATCTTCGCTTCGCAGATCTCCAATGGATTCTATATTTAAGATTATTTGATTGGTACAGCTGCTTTGTCCTAGTTCTTTGTTTACAATTTCCCATACCTTCTTCGGTTTATTTTCTGCATTTTCAATTAGACGTTCATGATATCGTTTTTAAGTAGTTGTTAGTAGTTTTCTGTGTTTACTTTTTCTTTGTAGGTAATGTTGTCTTAGTTCGGAGTTATCTTTGTTATTTTGCAGGAGGGTGTGTATTTCCCTCAAATTTTTACTGGAGGATCTTATTTCCTCCGTTATCCAGGCTTTAGTGTGTGAGTTCTGCTTAAAAATCGCTACTCTTTCTGGACACGCGGTATTAAAATGCCATAAGAAAGTATTGATGAAGTTTTCAAACGCCGTGTCAAGGTTTTCACTTTTTATTGTTCTAATCCGACGTGACTTGCTAATGTTTTTAGTGGATTCGTTGGTTGACGTGATGGAGATCGAGAGCATTTGGGCAGTGTAGTCGGATATATGTGGATCAAATACTGTACAAGTGATGAATTGTGGACTGAGATTTGTCGTCATGTAGTCTACTGACGTGTTGGATATTGTGTTATTCCTGCTGATAGCGTAGCGTGTAGGTTCGTTGCAGTGATTTACAAGGTTGAACGAATCTAAAATATCTCGAAGCATCATGGTGTTTATAGTTGGGCGAGAATAGTCAATGTTTAGATCGCCGCAAAGAATAATCTTGTCGCGTGTGGCTGATACGTGATCGAGAATTGCCGAAAGACTCTCGAGAAAGGTTCTTATGTTACCAGATGGCGGACGGTATACACATATTACTATTAGGTTCGTTTTTGTGCTTTGCAGAGTAGCTATGGTACCAAAGCATTCGATGTGTCGTTCTACGGAAAACTTCTTGACATATGGAAGTTCCTTGGTAGTCACGCCTTGTTTCACGAATATAGCACAACCACCATGAATATATTGGTTTCTGCAGAAAGTTGCTGCGTTTGTATACCCCTTAATATTAGCTATACTTGCTGCATCAGACGACAGCCATGTTTCCGTGAGGCATAGTACATCAGGTGTTGTCTCATCAACAAAGACATCGAGAGCGTCATATTTGTTCTGTATGCTACATACATTAAGATGTACTATTTTGAATGTGTTAATTTTTGTGAGGCTGTTCAATGAAAAAATGATTCCTGTACGTCCTTAGTTCCTTTCGCTTTACTTTAAGTCGACGGTTGTTTCAATGGTGGCAGGAGATTGTTGTTCCTTGTTGCCCGGATGTATGGAGCTTGTTAAAGATGGTCTCTGCAACATTGGAAATTCCTGTATGACCTGATTGGCTTGACCACACTCATCGGCAGACTTTGTTAGAGCTGCTTCTGTTTGTGTATTTTTGTTAGAAACCACTGTGTTTCCTTTAACTTTCTCAAATATTCCTTTGAGATGTTCTATCGTTTTATCCTTGTTCAGGACTTCGTTATTTAACTTTTCGATTGTAACTTTCAACTTTGCAGTGAGATCATGCAGATCTTCATTCTTTGCTAATTCTGAGGCTAGTTTATTCCTAAGATCTAACAGCAACTCTTCCTGCAGCAATTAATGATAATACCATTCATATAAAGAATTTCTGCTTCAGTGATGAATGCACATTTTATCTAAATGGATTTCTTAATAATCACAACTGTAGCTATTGGAGCAATGGAAAAGCGCATGCACAGTACCCCCAAAAAATTATTGCATGGGCAGGCATTCTAGGAAACAAAGTGATTGACCCATTGTTTATTAATGGAAATTTGAGTGCACATTTATTTGGATATGTTGGAAAATACCATCAATCCGCTTATCACTGAAACCATTGAAAACCAAATCGAAGAGAAAACCCTATTCTTGATGAGGCTGAAATATATTTACAGCAAGACTGCGCTCCTCTTAACTATGTTTTTCCGGTTCGGCAATGGCTAGGCGACGAGTTTCCAGCTAAATGGATAGGGCGAATAGGGCTTATAGAATGGCCTGCTAGATCTCCTAATTTGATGCCATTAGACTTTTTTCTATGGGGCCATTTGAAACCTATTGTGACCTGAAAGTTTCGATGAACTTTGTCAACGCATCATCGAAAGCAGCCGTGATATCCCACAACATGCTTTTGAAAATGTCCTTCAGAAATTTGAACATCGCCTATATCATTGTTCGGCCAAAAATGGGCAACATTTTGAACACTTACAAAGTGTGTTTTTGTTTTCTTTCTGAACAAATTAAGATGAATAAATTTTTTTTTAATTTTCTCGAAAACGAATTGACTGATTTTAAAAAATCAAACGTTAAAAAAACACCTTTCAAACAAGCTAAAACTTAAAACTTGAAACTTAAAATTTTCAAGGGAATGGCTCTGGGTGAAGTAGTTTTTGGTTAAAAAGTTGTCTCCCTTGACAAATCATTTGACGTGTCTCGACGTTTTTTCTTCTATTTAGTGGTTTTCGATAAATCCGTGGCGGGAATTTTTCAAATGATGTATGTATTAGTCGTCAAACATGCTGTGGAGAGAAAGAAGAGTCATAATTAAGGAATTGTTGATTAACGTATGCGCCAAGCACGATCACAGTGATTCCTTTAGAATTAATAAAAAAATGACACCATTTTCCATTTAAAGAAAATTATAAACTCTTAAAGATGACGTCAATACTTCAAGAAAAAATCACGCTTGAGCCTCCCTTGTAATTATTTCCAAGATCTCATCGAAGTAAAAGGTATCCTTATCTGCAGCAACAGTTGGTTGGTTTTGAATCGGAGTGGGTATCTGGTGGTATATGTTAATTAATGGTAAAGTGGATAACAATTCTGTAATTACTGAATTTTGTGGTAGATGGAAAAAACATTATCAGCTTTTAAGTCTTCATTAAACTTTTGCACCAAATGAGTTTATTTTTATATAATCATAAGCTGCAATAACAGAATTAGCAATAATACCTGCTAGTCAGTGCGTTTACCATTTTGTGCAAGTCTTCTTGAGGAGGTTTTACTTCAAATTTTTCCATACATTTCACCTTGCTGATAAGCTCGTCGAGATCCCGTACTGTTGCTAGTAGCTCATCCTTCTCCTTTAGCTCTTTAGCAGCATCGTAAGGAGTAAGGGTACCAGGAGGTGCCCTCAATTGCTGGAGTTTTCTTTTGAAGGTTTCGTTCAAAGCTTAAAAATTAATTATTATGCAATCAATAGTAAAAATAATATACAGGGATATAGGCATTCATCAGATCATACTGGTGCTCCGACTGAAGAAGGCCATACCGAAACAGGATGCTCGGAGAGCAAGAGAAAGTGCATTTTTTTACAGCGAAGTTGCCGCTATTGACGAGATGGGTTCGTACCAGATCAGGTCCTCCGTGATCTGGACTCCGACCAGCCGAAATGAATAGCTCTTTGGCAGAACTCGACCATCCATCGAAACCGGATGAGCGCTAAGATGGTTTTTGTTCGTCAATGTACAGTACTGTGTTTTGGAAGCATTAAACTGTACAAGAGTGTTGCGTCGCTCATAGTCTTTTTTTTCCAGCTCACTGGCAGACATCGACTTGTCGTTTTGAATTTCTGCATGTAGAGTGATGTCGTCAGCAAAGCTGTGAATTGAATTGATCAAACAGGAAAGTAGGTCTTTGATATGTAGGGAACAACCGCGTTGAAGTTGTGAGATGAAGAGAACAACACAGACCTTGCGACCAAAAAGAAAATTAGCCACCCATCTGTAAAGCTTCTCTGGGAGGCCATAAGAGTTTGCATAAGAGGACAGCATGCCGCAGCCGTAAGACTAAATGAGCTTACTCCACAATTACCTGACGTAAGCTAGGAGGTCCTCTGAGGATTGCTGATAAGATCACCCGTCTCACGGTGTTATGTCTGAATTTTACTTCCATATAACATAGTGTAGGGAAAACCCTTTGAATCTACGGCACTCGGGCGTTGGGGGAACGTCCATAGTGGTGTTGACAGCAAAGATCTATGCAAGCACTTCCGCCTTAGCCTTTGAATCGGTTTCAATCGTTCCATCATGATACGTAAGTGGTGGAACGCTACTCTGTGGGAAGTGCCTCTGAGTCTGATTGACAAGCGCCCAAAAAGACCCACTGCCATTGCGCTGCGATATTGTTTCTGGACTCGACGGCGGCTTGTCTGTTCTCAACAGTGGTGTTCTATAAGAAGTTTTATATTCTGCTGACGAGCTGTGTCGTGTTGAACCAGCTGATGGAAAGAACGTATCTGTAGCAGGAAACACTGCTGCGGACAAAAGTCACAAATCCCCCGTCCTTTTGTCAGATTGTAGTGCACCCCGTAGTTTGGGAAGCTAAGATGGTTAATCGGCGCATAATCTGAGATTTCTGTCTCCGTCATTCATAAAAAAAACCAGCATTACTGCGATGAGCTGGCATTGCTTAATTTTAGATATTCGGAATAACCAAACCGAAAGCCAAATGCTACGGAATCTGACCAAAACGGGGTACCATTTTTTAAGCAAACTGGTAGCTAAAACAGATGCATCCGGGATGCAGTGGCGATAGCCTTGTGTGCTCAGCTCTTGTTAATCCAATATCTTCTTGTCGCCCTCAGCATATTACTTACTATTGTTAGAAATATAGGCGACAAAGCCCCAGAATCAAACAGGTATCCAGGAATTGGATGCCCGTTTCAACACGAACTCAAATGAGGAGTATTATATGTTTAATGTGTGTACGTGTGTATTTCTCAATGGTAACTTCTTAGCTGAATGGATCAACCAATTTTGATTTTTCTATGTTGTTTGATAAGGAACTTAGCCGAAACTCTTCTCAGCTATGATACCAAAAGTTGTGCCGTCGTTTTAAGTTAAAGAGTTTTTAGATTTTTGAACTATACTATAGATACTTACTTAAGAGATGGTTCTTTTCCTTCTTGAGCGCATCAAAGATCTCAGGCTTGACAGAGGTTTTCCTCAAATTTTCCAATTGGTAAGATAACTTTTTAACGTCATCTTGTAATTTTTGGTTCTCGTTGTACAGAAACGACTGATTTTGCAGCAACTGCTTGTTAACTTGCTCATACTCAGGCGAATGCAATGAAGTCATTATATCACTAAGAATTTTTTAAAATACGAAATCCAAACTTGACATTGATGATGAGTGAACGGTGTCATCGCGGATGGCAAGTCAGACTGACAGCTTGAGTGCTGCGGCGTTTTTATACAAGGTGGGTCCGTTCGAGATGGTGGTTGGGTGCATTCTACGGTGAGGTTCAAATTTGGCTGACGTGATGGTACCTGGAACAAAAGCTAGAAGCATGCAACGCAGTAAGCCGCAGCTACGACAGCGGCCTCGTCACCCGAGGTGTTTCTATCTCTTTCTATCACTCATATTGAACACTTTTGGCGCTTCTCTCTTGCACACATTACGACGTCAGTGTTATATGGGTTTCACTGTATATCCCTATGAGAGAAGATATGACGCAATCCAGTGAAATATTAGATAATCCAAGAAGAAAAAAGTAAGCGACGCATGCGGCACCTTTCTGAGCTGAACAAATCTGAGTAAATGACAGTGATTTTTACTTCGATTCAGAGCATGAGTAAAAATCAAGCAGACTTTTTGTACTCTCCTGGGTTGTAATTTATAGTAGCTCTAGCCAGAATGGTTTGTTTTCAGTTGGAAAATGAAAGTCGCAGTAAGGTTTCAAACTAATCTTGATGTGAAGGGCTGGGAATCAACCATGGCAGAGCGATATCTGCTGACAATAGCATCTGGGTCAATTAGAATGAATGTTGTAGTGTGTCACTCCCACATTTCCAAATAAATCACATTTTAGAATTACCACCGACGGACAAGAAGATCCAAGCCAAGCTGTGCTCATGTGCATGCGGAATCAGCATGTTTTTGTCGGTATTATAGCAGTGGCGTACTTTGCTCCTGAGGATATGCATATCAAAAATTGTCAAGGGGGCCTCCCAACATTGGCGAATACTAAATGGAGAGAAAAGTTCGAGGTAAAGATTTTTACAAAATAAACGAAAATGCTTGCATTGAATGATATGAATAAATAGTTAGGTAATAACTAAGTACTGCTCAAATGCCAGCGGTATTATGAGCAAAAAATAAAACAGCTTCAGAGTGTTCCTAAACTTGTATACTTTGCAAAGATTTTTGGGCGTAATAAAACCTTCTTTGGAAAGGTTACAAGCTTGGAAAAATTCTAAAGGCGTTGCTGATTACTTCAAATTAGAGCGTACTCAGAAACATTATTATGGATTGTAGAAGTAATGATGCTTGAACAGGACACCTTTTTCTCAGAAACCTTTTTCATTAAATCATCTTGTAGGATCAAAAATAGGAACTAAGCTACCGTCACTAAGGCCCGTATCGTCAGTCGTCCCTACAATTGTAGGGCGCGTTTATGGCCTCCTTGATTGTCATCCTTCTTTCTCTCATTTAAAAATTTCTAGATTACACTTGTCCCGTGTCAGCGTCAGCGCTATCCTATTGTGAAGATATGTTTTCTATTTAAATTGTAGGAAATTTCAGGCTGATAAAACATGATATAACTCAAAAGTAAGCACAATTTGATGCAAATAGATGTTTGTGACATAACCTCAAAATAGAGTTCTGATACGGAGAAGCAGAAAACTATGACAATCAAGGAGGTCATAAACAACATCGAAGATAAAATTTGTTTTTCGAACATCTGCGGGATCAACAGCAACATTGATGCTGTTCATCACTACCTGCAATCCAATCGTCCCGCCGTGCTTTTCTTGGCGGAGACAAAAATCTCAGAGGCTGCACCGATTAACCATCTCAACTTCCCAAACTACGAGGTGCACTCCAATCTGAGAAAGAACGGGGGAGTTGTGGCTTTTGTCCGCAGCAGTCTTTCCTGCTCCAGGGATCTTTCTTTGGAATCAGAACGGAAGGACATTCTGTGGCTTTGCCTCAACTCCAAAACATCACCCAAATTTATTTGCTGCCTTTATCGCTCTCCCTCGAACCATAACTGGAATGACCTACTCGAATACCTCGCCGTCCAGATCGACTTCCTGAACATCAATCACCCCGCTTCAGAGGTAGTTCTTCTCGGTGATTTCAATGCCCATAATGAGCTTTGGTTGGGCTCAAATAAGACCGATGCAGCAGGTCGTGCAGTCGAAGCGTTCGCTCTTACTCAAGGGCTGACCCAGCTGGTGACGAGCCCTACTTTTTTCCCCCGCGTCTCGTCACACGCCAGTAGCCTGCTGGACCTCTTTCTGACCACGCATCCTGCCCCTTACAGCACTGCCGTCCTGTCTCCCCTGGGTAACTCAGATCACGGTGTTGTGGAGGTTAGGTTTCGGTCAGACGCCGCTGTGGCCGCAGAAACTCGCACAGGCCGCAAAACTTGGCATTACGGACATGCCGACTGGGAGGGGCTCAGAGACTTCTTCTCTAGCTTTCCTTGGAGAGATGTCTGTTTCACTGACGCGGATGCATCGACTGTCTGTTCTTCAATAACCGAAATTATCCACGTCGGAATGGAGGAATACATCCCTCACACAGTGAAAGTTCCTAAACCAGGGTCCAACGGCTGGTTCAACAAATCGTGTGACACTGCTCGCCAGCAGAAGATCAAGGCCCACAGAACCTACTTACAAAACCCCACTGTAGAGAACAGACAAGCCGACGTCGAGTCCAGAAACAAATATAACGAAGCGGTTCGCAATGCCAAAACCCAGCATGATATAAAAGTTAGGCACAGGGTAATGTCGCAGCGCAATGGCAGTCGGTCTTTCTGGACGTTGGCCAAGCAGATTGAAAAGAACTTCTCACATAGTAGCCTTCCACCACTTACGTGTCAGGATGGAACTATTGTATTCGACTCAAAGGCCAAGGCGGAAGTGCTAGCCAAGATCTTTGCTGCCAACTCCACCATGGACGTCCCCACCAACGCCCAAGTGCCGTCAATTCAAAGGGTTCCCCACACTATGCGGGAGGTAACATTCAGGCATAAGACCGTAAGACGAGTGCTCTTGTCGCTCGACATCAACAAAGCTTCTGGTCCGGACTTGATTCCTGCCATTGTACTGAAGAGATGTGCAGCTGAGCTTGCTCCAGTTCTTTCGCGTCTCTTCCAGATATCTTATGAATCCGGCACCTTCCCAGAAAACTGGAAATTTGCTCATGTACAGCCCATCCCAAAAAAAAGGATCTAAAACCGACCCTTACAACTACAGGCCTATAGCTCTGCTTTCTGTTATAAGTAAAGTGATGGAGAGGTGCATCAATCGCGAGCTTCTGGACTACCTCGAACGTCACAGCTTGATTAGCGACAGGCAGTACAGTTTCCGGCACCAACGATCCACAGGGGACCTCCTAGCTTACGTCACGCAACTGTGGAGTAAACTCATCCAGTCTCATGGTGAGGCTCATGTCGTTGCTCTTGACATCACGAAAGCGTTCGACCAGCTGTGGCACGCTGCCCTCTTGAGCAAACTTCCATCCTACGGCCTCCCAGAAAAGCTTTGCAGATGGGTGGCTGACTTTATCTCTGGCCGCAAGATATCCGTCGTAATTGACGGATTCTCCTCTTCATCCCACAACGTCAACGCGGGTGTTCCCCAGGGATCGGTCTTGGCTCCAACACTGTTTCTCTTACATATCAACGACGTCCTTTCCTGCACGATCAATCCAATCCACAGCTTCGCTGATGACAGCACTCTACATGCAGGAATTCAGAGTGACAAGCCGATCTCTGCCGCTGAGCTGGAAAAAAGAAGACTAGCGACGACTTCTTCTCTGACAAGAGACCTGGAGGCTATCACTGCTTGGGGACGCAACAATCTTGTACAGTTCAATGCTTCCAAAACACAGGACTGTACTTTGACGAACAAAAAGCGTCCTAGCGCTCATACAGTTTCGATGGACGGTCGAGTTCTACCAAAGAGCCATTCATTTCGGCTGGTCGGAGTCCAGATCACCGAGGACCTGATCTGGCACGAACACATCTCTTCAATAGCTGCAGCTGCTGGGAAAAAGCTAGGCTATTTGTTTAGGGCTAAGAAGTACTTTTCTCCGCATGACCTTCTCACTCTATACAAGGCCCAGATAAGGCCTAGCCTCGAGTGTTGCTCACACATTTGGGGTGCTGCCGCCCCGACTACAGTGTCCATGCTCGATGCTGTCCAGAGGAAGGCGGCCCGACTGATCGATGACTCTTCTCTAACAGACAGTCTCGGGACTCTTTCGCACCGGCGGGCCGTCGGCGATCTAGCTCTTTTCTATCGCTACACCAACGGGCTTTGCTCCTCAGAGCTCTCTTCCATGATGCCGCCGCGCGATGTGCCTGCCAGACAGACCCGCCTGACTTCGGCGTCCCATCCTAACCGTGTCAAACTTCGTACATCCAGAACTGGCCGATACGACCGCTCCTTTGTCCCGAGGGTGTCTAGATTGTGGAACAAACTACGGGAGGAAGATTTTCCCAGTTCTACTAACCTTAGGCAGTTCAAAAATCGTATTAACAAAATTTCTTTGGGATCATCATAGCAGCCGCGGTGTTCCGGCATTTAGGCTTCTGCCTGCCCGGCTGTTTCGATAAAAAAAAAAAAAAAAAAAAAAGGCGCCCTGCAATTGTAGGGACGACTGACGATACGGGCCTTAGGCTAGTATGACTGCGCGGAGTTGGTTTCTACTCATTGAGAGCAATTCCGCAGTCTTGCTTAGACATGGTTCCAAAATGAATCTTTGACATTTCTGCATCCAGTCACTAAGGCCTGTATCGTCAGTCGTACCTACAATTGTGGGGCGCGTTTATGACCTCCTTGATTGTCATACTCCTTTCTCTCCTTCTAAAATTTCTAGATTACACTTGTCCCGTGTCAGCGTCAGCGCTCTCCTGTTGTGAAGATTTGTTTTCCTTTTAAATTGTAGGTAATTTCAGGCTGATGAAACATGATATAACTCAAAACCAAGAACAATTTGATGCAAATTGATGTTTGTGACATAACCTCAAAATAGAGCGCTGACACGGAGAAGTAGAAAACTATGACAATCAAGGAGGCCATAAAGGCGCCCTACAATTGTAGGGACGACTGACGATACGGGCCTTAGTCGAAAGATATAAGGATTTTGTGCTTGAGAATTTGTAATTAAGTTCATGACCAAAAGACTTGCGTAAAGCGGTAGATGAGTCTTTGCTCAATTGTTTTCATGCGCCAGGTTTCTTGTGATGGGCCTCCGTATCATCGATACGATTGTTACGGCAATCGCTATGCTCCTGTATTTAACCAACAGGATGA